AGAAAGAGAGAACAGACAGAAGGTGCAGACTTCTGACTTCTTAGACACAGACTTTAAATGAAATTAAGAACTTAATGGTTTTAAGAACCATATGATTCTGCTGAAAAGCGAACTATAAAATATCTGAAAAGAAATTTCTAGTGAGAGAAAAAACAATGAAAAGCAGGAGAAAGTAAAAGGCACAGAAAAGACCATGAGAAGTTATTATGCAATAAAATTGGAGTTCCAGAGGTAGAGGAGACAGTGAAAGTGCAGAGATACTGTATTTGTCATGTATAATGCACACCCATGACTTTGGCCCAAACTCTCAGGAAAAACTTTCATTTTAATTTTTTAATGCAATTATTTATTTATTTATAGACACCTTTCTTTGTATTATAAAGGAATTTTGGAATTTATTTTTGAACTTATTATGGTACCAGAAATTACAAAACACAAGAACAGATAAGGTATTTCAGGTAATACCCATGTATAATGCATATCCTATTTTCCCTAAAAAATTTGGGCAAAAAAGTACAGATTATACATGGTGAAATACAGTAATATTTGAGGATATAATGGTCAAGAATTTTAGAAAACTAATGAGAGATAATCCAGCCACAAATTCAGAAAGTTCTATGAACCCAAGTAAAACGAGTAGAAATAAAATTACATAGGCACAATACAGCAAAACTACTAAAACATCCCCCAAAAAGAAAAATATTTTAGGAAGCCAGAAGTCAGATTTCATTCAAGGAAGCAATGCTTAGAATGAAAGCTGACTTCAACAGCAACAAAAGCCAGAAAATAATGTTTTTAAGTGCTAAAAGAAAAGAACACTAAACTGAAATTCTATACCCAGCAAAACAGTCAAGAAAAGTAAAATAAATATATCTTCAGATGCATAAAAATTAAGAAAATTCATCACCAGCATAACCACTGTAAAGGAAATGCAAAATGTTCTTTGTAGCAAAGAAAGTTGTCTTGGATGAAGACACAGAAATGTTAAAAATAAACAGAACAAAAAAAGTAAATATGAACATTGTATAAACAATAAAAATACAATAGGTTTCTATAGGTTTAATATGTAAAGAAAAATGAAGTACATTTTAACAATAGTATCTATGTCAAAGAAGTGTTAAAAGATGTTAGAGAATTTTAAGCTGCTAGCACTGTCTGAGAAGAAGGTGGAAGTATCAAAAAGTTACTTTGATAAACAGCCTTTGATAAAGAAAGGATACATATCAACCAAAGAGTAATTAATAAAAGAATATAAAGAGTGTAGCACTTCCAGTCTCATAGGGGTGAAAAAAAATGGGCCATTAAATACTACTCCATCATTTCAAAAGACAGTTCAAAAGAAACTTAGGCAGAATTAGAAAGCAAATCACAAGATGGTAGATCTAAATCCAAGTATCAATAAACTCATCAGGTACATCAACTAAAATATAAAGATCGACAGAAAAAGCAAAATCCAGTTTTGTGCTGTTTATAAGAGGCACATTTGGAATAAATACACACAAAAGTTTACTGTGAAAGAATTGGAAAAAAGACCATGCAAACACTAAACAAAAGAAAAGTGGCATAGCTGCTATATTAATATTAAAGAAAAGTAAATGTAAAAGTAAAAAAAAAAACAAATACCAGAAGGGTAACCTTATAATAAAAGGATGTAAGAATTCTAATTCTGAAATATACAGATGTAAAAATATTTCAATAAAAGAAAGCAAAAATTGGCAGAGCTAAACAGGGTAATGTGTGAGAGGCAGAACACCTTTTCCCTCTAAAAGATGCTCAGGGCCTAGACCCTGAAACCTGTGAATACATTACACTGCATAGCAAAAATGGTTTTGCAGATGTAATTAATGTTACGGAATTTTATCTTATTCTTTTAGTATAAAACAAGTCCTTTAATTTTTCAAGTGTTTTAAAAAGCAATTTTATACTTAAGCCTTGAAGATAAGCACAAAATTTACGAGTTTACTTTTTTTAACCCAAACTCAAGCACCCACTCGGAAGTGTTCTAGGTCCAATAAAAGGAATTCTTAACTTTAGAAACATGATTTTTGCCTTTTCCAGAATTTTAAAATAGGGAGATTATCCCAGATCAGTGATTTTTAACTGGTGTGCTGCAAGAATTTTCAAAACATGCAATACCTGGCTATTTAGTCAGCGGCACTGACCTTTCTATTTAGTCAGGGGCACTGACCGCTTTTCCCTTAGATTGTCAAATAAAAAAGTGACAACAGCCAACACAATAATAGCCGGGTGTGAATGAATCAAAATTAAACCTATTTTTTTTTGGTTAGATCGACAAAAAATATATTTCTGGGTGTGCTGCAGAATTATAGTAATTAGTTAATATGTGCCATCATGTGAAAACGGCTGAAAATTGCTGTGTTACACTATCCTTTGGGCTCAACCTAATCATTATGAGCGCTTAAAGGCAGAGAACTTTCTTTAATGGTAGGCAGTAGACACGAAGCAGAGGGAAGGTCAAAGAGATTCAGAGTAGGAAAATGATTTGACCTGCCTTTGCTGGCTAGGAGATGAAGTGAGGAAGAAGGTCATGTGCCAGGAAAAGTGAGTGACCTCTAGAAACTTATAATGACCCCTGGCTACCAGCCAATAAGAAAACATGGATCTCAGCCAAGCAGCCGCATAGAGCTGACTTCTGCTAACTACCAGAATGAGCTTAGAAGCACATTCTCTGATAGAACCTCCAAATAAGAAACTGAGTGGGCTCACGCTTTGCTTTTGGCCTTGGGACACTCTAAGCAGATTAACCAGTTGAACCTGCTGGGCTTCTGGCCTACTGAACTCAAGAGATAAAGTTGATGTTATTTATGATGTTGTTTATGTTAATTTGTTAGGGCAGCTATAGAAAACTGATACAAAAGTAAAAATCCACAGTAATAGAGGGAATTTTTAATAGGTCTTCTCAGAATATGATAGAAGATAAATTAAAACATAAGTCAGTAAGAACAAGATTTGAAGAACAAAAACAATTTGAAATGACTTATATAGAATACTGTAACTAAACCGTACGAAATATATATTCCTTAAATGCATACTTGAAACATTTACATAAGCTAATTATATGCTGGGCATAAAGCAAGTATATACAAACTTTAAAGGATTAAAATCATACAAAGTAACTTCTCCAAATACAGTCCAATTAAGCTATAAATTGATAACCCCCAAATAGGCTGGAACAAAAACAGTAACATAAACCTAGTGAAAATAAATAAAGGATATAATGAAAATAAGAGCAGATACAATGAAATAGAAAACAAAATTCACAATAAAACAGAAAACAAACATCCAAGAGGAAAAAAAAAACAAAGCAAATATTTGAGGGGCAGTTCTGGCAGGAAAGGATAACTGAAGTAAATAAAATCAAATGCACAAATCTACAGAGATGTGCCTCATCCCTTCTTAAAATCTATTAACATAATACTAGTGATAGAAAAACAATAACAGTTGCCAACAGGAGAAAACAGGTAACTTTTGGAAGCTGAAAAGCAGATGGATCAAATTAATGGGAAAACCAGAAAAGAAAAATCAGGATCCCAGCTATTATATATGTGAGAACTGCTTTTCCCTAATCTGTGAACTCAGAAAAAAAGACTGGGGAAAAGACTACGAGGGGATTACAAACGATAATTAGCAGACCAACTACTCAGATTTACTCTGGTGTTGTATTATGGGCTAAAACGCTAAACAAAGTGGCGACCCCCTAGCATCAGCACTGGAAACAAAAGTAAAGCAGGGTCTTGGGAAGATCCCGACTTGTAGAAAGAAAGAAGTTTGGAGATGAGAGACTGGAGCATGAAGGCAGTTGTAACCACAAGCAAAGCACTGAGGCACTCCAAACAAACAAACAAAACCCAAAACCAAACTAGGAAACAAAAAAATGCCACTACCTGCAATAAGCAAAAGATACATCAGACAAGATGAAATAACCCCACTAGTAATGTGAGAGTTGCAAATTTAAAAAAAGAATATAGACAATAGTCTAGTGTTGCTGTTATTATTCTGGGTTAAGGTAAAGAAAAAACACACCTACATTTGGTACAAGAAAATTGTGAGTCTGACAGGTTCCTTCTTAAAAAAAAAATAGTTGTCCTGATTAGTTGCTGACTCAGCAAATAAGTTTTTAGGAATCCGGTGCACACTTACAAAGCTGAATATACAGATACGCTCTCTGATGCACCATTCACCAAAACAACACCGACTGAGTAAATTACGGTACATCTATTCTCTGGATTGCCACAACTGTTAAAAAATATAAGATAGATTCTTCATGTATGTACTCTAAAATGTTCATAGTAAACTAAGCACAAAACAAAGGTTTATTTATGTGCTAGCATTCATATGAAACCTAATAAAAAGCTAGAGTTAGATGATCTAATATAAATTCATTCTCTCTCTCTCTGCTAACATAACCAAACCATTAATAGCATTTATCTCCCAGATAGGACACATGATTGAGGTTCTGGGGAAAGTCAAAGAGGGCATTCTACTTCCACATGTACTTCTACGTTGTCTGAATTTTTTTAAACCAAGAGTAGATGCTAGTTCTGCAATTAAAATGTTCCATGCATGCTTATGAGATAAGATATCAAGTGATCTGTCCATAGAAAAACAGTAAATTCCACACTGTTAAATCTTAAGAACAACTTATTATGTATTAAAGAATGTAATATTCTTAATTATAATCTTCAGTCCTTAACAGATATTAGATTTTAAAGGAGGAAGTAAAATTAGCCCATCAAAAACGGGGAAAATAGATTAAAGGTTTTATTGCTAGAGACATTTAGGGCATCAAACATACTTATTCTTAGACATGTGAAAGATACTGGTTAATTGAAAAGATTCTGAAGCTAATCTCCCCATTAATTCTCACAAAATAGCCAAACCTATTAAAAAATTAACTGTTATGTAGATTGATATATAAACGAGGCTGCCACATTTTAGAAAAGTTATTATTTACTTAACAAAATAAAAGCTGTACTTACGAGGAGTAGTGTGAACTGGCGCAAGCTGTGGAAAGGTCATAAGCAGAGAAACCCCTGGCAGGGTATTCTGCTTGGTATGTTCAGTAGTTTGGTCAGCCCAAACAACCACTTTTTTCCTCTCTACCAAATGTTCAATTTCTCTGAAGTCAGACTCAAAAGCAGCATTTGACAGGCCAGTTTCTTTTAATGCACAGTACTGTTTTCTCAGGGTTGGAAGTAAAGCATTCAATACCCTATATAGACAAGGTGATCATAAAGGAGAGAGAAATGCTCAATTTGAAATACATTATTATAATTCTATATAATCTCCAAAGTATTATCAGATCATTCAAATAATCCCTGTAAATATACTCCTTTTAGAATATTTCAACCAACTACATCAACATATTCTCAACACATTAAGTATAAACTGGAAAGCATCTTGGATAGGAATCGCAAGCACTAGGCTGTATGCGCAGCTAGTCGTTTTCACTTGCTTCTGTGATCATGGATAAGGCACAACTGAGGTTTCTCCTCTACCACATGGCAATCAGTTGGACAGCCACTAATTATAACAGGAGACTGTTTTGAGAACTGAATGAGTTAAATACTTACAAAGCTTTCTGTTGAGCATAATGTGATTTTCAAACCAAATATACTGTTATTGTTAATAAATACCGTGAGATTAAAATAAAAATTAATATACTATATCAAATGATAAGACTCATTTTAGGTATATAACATTAAAAAATACCAAGAAAAAAACCAAAACTCAATTTCCCTTTCAGTTAGTGCTCCATGAGCTAAAGCAATAGCTTTCAAAGCTATTCCAAGGGGGTTCAAGGAGAAAAGTTGTGGACAAGAATGGTGATTATGGGGAATCAATGGGATACTAGATTCTTGGCTCTGATTCAAAATCTCCCCTATAGTTAGTTATTCATCAGAGCAGCACTGCAAGCATCTTTTTATGTATTAGACCTCCACGTAAGTGTTCACTGAAGAAATGCCACAACTAAATAGCTATAAATTTATACACTCAATCAATGGTTCCTAACTTGTAAATCAAGAGATGTCGTCAAGCAACATGAGTAATCTTGAAATGATTCAGTCCTCATGTTCCAGTTGACTTATCACATCTAAGAGAACAGAACCATTTGAAGTATAAATAGGTCAATGGGAAAAGAATAGGCATGGATTTTAACACAAGGAAATAATGACTTTATTACTTAGGAGTCTTTTATTTATATTTATATTTAGGTAGTAGTATAAATAAATAGTCAGTGACGCTTTCATTTTGGTGAGGATGGAGAGTACTTTAAGCCAAGCAGGTAATTTAAGAAAAAGCCATTAATCACAGTCAGTAAAAACAATTATTTATTGAATACCTATACTAACCAGGTACTGTGCAGGGAAGAGTTAACTGCTATCCTTAAAAAGATTTGCTAGAAAGGTTGGCCCTTAGCTGGTATCTTGAACCTTGGATTTTCATAGGGTTCTCATCATTTATTCCCCTCCCCCCTGGTTACTGTCAGTTTGTTTATTCTTTATTTCAATGTCTCTGGTTATATTTTGCTTGCTTGTTTGTTTTGTTGATTAGGTTCCACTTATAGGTGAGATCATATGGTATTTGTCTTTCGCCATCTGGCTTATTTCACTTAGCATAATGCTCTCCAGTTCCATATATGCTGTCGTGAAGGGTAGGAGCTCCTTCTTTCCTTCTGCTGTATAGTATTCCATTGTGTAAATGTACCCTAGTTTTTTGATCCTCTCATTTACCGATGGGAACTTTTTTTTGGTTCAATATGTGTATATATCGTGAAATGATCACCACAGTAAGTCTAGTTAACATCCATTACCACAAGTAGTTACAGAATATTTTTCTCTTTGGGATGAGAACTTTTAAGATCTCTTTTAGCAACTTTAAAATATGTAATATACTAATATTAACTAAGGTCATCATTCTGTATATGATATCCCCATGACTTACTTATTTTATAACTAACTCTGTGCCCTTTGACTCCCTTCACTTATTTCAGTCATGCCCCACCCTCAGCCACTGGCAATCAGAATTTGTACTCTTCATTAGTGATTTTTTTTTTTTAAGACTCCATATATAAGTGAGATCTATGGTATTTTTCTTTCCCTGTCTGACATACTACACTTAGAATAATGTCCTCAAGGTCCATGCATATTTTTGCAAATGACAGAACTTCCTTCATTTTTATGGCTGAATAATATTCCATAAACACCTTTTCCTTATCCATTCATCCCTTGATGGATACTTAGGTTGTTTCCACATCCTGGCTATTTTATTATGCTGCAATAAATATGTGGTGTGCACATATCCTTTTTAAAAAAAAGAAGTGGAATTGCAGGATTATACTTTAATTTTATTTTTAAATTTTTGAGGAACCTCAATAATGTTTTCAATAGTGATTGTACTAATTTACATTCAAACCAACAGGGTACAAGGGATTGCTCTTCTTCACATCCTTGACAATACTCTTTTGTCTTTTTGACAATAGCTGTTTTAACATGTGTGAATTGGTATCTTATTTTGGTTTTAATTTGCATTTCCCTGGTGATTAGTGATGTTGGCCATGTTCTTTGGAAAAAATGTCTATTTAGATAATTTTTAAATCAGATTGTTTTGCAATTGAGTTGTATGAGTTTTTTAAAATATATTTTGAATATGATTTGTAAATATTTCTCCCATTCAGTAGGTTGGCTTTTCATTTTGTTGCTTGTTTGCTTTTGCTAAGTGAAAGCTTTTTAATTTGATGTAGTCTCACTTGTTTACTTTTTTTTAAATTGGCGTTGCTTTTGTTGTCAAATCTAAAAAAATCATCACCAAGTCCAATGTCAAGTCCTTACTACCTATGTTTTCTTCTAGTTTTATTGTTTCAGGTGTTAGGTTGATGACTTTAATCCATTTTGAGTTGTTTTTTGTCTACGGTATAAGATAGTGGTCCAGTTTTATTCTTTTGCAAGTGGCTGTCCTCCACTTTTCCCAACATCAATTTATTGAAGAGACTGTCCTTTTCCTATTACATTCTTCTTTGTCATAAATTACTTGACCATATATGTCCGGGTTCACTTCTGGGCTCTCTATTCCATTGACCTATGTGCCTGTGTTTGTGCCAATACCATACTGTTTTGTTATAGCTTTGTTACATAGTTTTAAATAAGGGACCATAATGCTTACAGTTTAGCTCTTCCTCAAGATTGCTTTGGCTATTCAGGGTTTTTGGTGGTTCCATATAGATTTTAGAACTGTTTTTCTATTTCTGTGAAAAATGACAGTAAAATTTTGATTAGGACTGCACTGAATCTGCAGATTGGTTTGGGTAGTGTGAACACTTTATCAATATTAATTCTTCTAATCTATGAACAAGGATAGTTTTCTATTTATTTGTGTCTTCCTCAATTTCTTTCATTAATTAATGCCTTATAGTTTCAGTGCACAGGTCTTTCACTTGTTTCATTAAATTTATTTTTAGGTATTCTATTCTTTTTAATGCAATTGTAAATAAAATTGTCTTAATTTATTTTTGATAGTTTATTGTTAGTCTATTGAAACACAAATGGCTCTCTGGTTCTATTTTGCTTGCTTGTTTGTTTGTTTTATTGATTAGGTTCCACTTTTAGGTGAGATTTTATGATATTTGTCTTTCTCCACCTGGCTTATTTCACTTAGCAGAGTACTCTCCAGTTCCATCCATGATGTTGTGAAAGGTAGGACTTTCTTCTTTCTTTCAGCTGAGTAGTATTCCATTGCGTAAATATACCACAGTTTTTTAATCCATTCATTTACTGATGGGCACTTAGGCTTCTTCCAGTGCTTGACTATTGTTATTCCACTTTTGATTTCTTCCTTGATCCACATATTTTTAAATTTTCATTTTCTGCTTGTACTTGATTTCTACTTTCATACCACTGTGGTCAGAAAAGTATCTGATCTGATTTCAATCTTCTTAAATTTGTTAAGACTTGTTTTGTTGGATAACTAATGATCTATCCTGGGAAATTTTCCACTTGCACTTGAGAAGAATGTGTATTATGCTGCTTTTAGATGAAACGCTCTGTATATATCTGTTAAGTCCATCTGCTCTAATGTGTCAGTTAAGGCTGATGTTTCTTTATTGATTTTCTGTCTGGATAACTTATCCATTGACATAAGTGGGGTATTAAAGTCTCCTTCATGGTATTGCTGTCTATTTTTCCCTTTAAGAATGCCAATATTTGCTTTATGTATTTAGGTGCTCCTATGTTGGGGGCATAATATTTACAAGTGGTATAACCTCTCGCTGGATTAATCCCTTTATAATTGTGTAATGCCATTCTCTAACTCTCAATACAGTCTTTATTTTAAAGTCATTTTAAATTCTTCTTTAGCTTTTCCCTGGAAAATTATCTCTCTAATTCTGGATGATAACTCTGCTGGGTAAAGTATTCTTGGTTGAAATTTTTTTTTCTTTTAGTATTTTATATATTAAAATCTGCTTTTGCCCCTAGTCTACAAAGTCCTGCTAAGATAGTTCATCCCTTCCATTATTTTTATGTCATTTAATCCTTTCAAATTTCTTATAAGTACTATAATCTCTTTTAACATAGAAGAAAACCAAAGCTTAGTGGGCTTAATTTATGACAGGTTATCTTGCTAATATAAACCAGTATTCTAAAACCAACTCCAAAACTCATACTCTTTCTATTATGATGTACTGACTGTTTGTAAAGCTTTGGTTCACCAAATTTTTAAGTAAGAATTAGAAATCTTTTCCATTTTGAGACAAAAAATTATTTTGAATGTATTAATCTTTGTCTTAAACAGCAAATATAGTATGGTTAAAATAAATTAATGTTCCTTTTATAACTTTAGGTCTTGCAGGTGATTTAAGTGCTAGTTAATAAATATTCAATGCCTGCTTAAGGTATAGATATAGACGGTATGGGAGATTAGGTAGAGCATTTTTATTCACTGGATCCATCAAAGTTTTCCTTTCTCTTTTCTTCTTTCAAAAAATTACTACCTTACTATGAGTTCCTTTAATCAAAAGCATGAAAAATTAATTACCACATATTTGAGAACACTACTAGAACACCAGTAAAATTTCAGACTGGCAGAAAGCCCTAAGGGAAATAAATTTCTCATTTTTCCTGAGCATGAAAGTGACACTTAAGGAGTTGATCAACATATCCAAGGTAACAAAAATAAAGATTGTTATACTTTTTTGCTACTATGTTACTATAGACTCAAGAGATGTTACTACTGAGGTAGTAGAGAGAGCATGAAAGAGTTACTATACCATCACATAAAAATTGGACACGATATAAAATGCATACATTTTTAGTAACTTCATTTTACTGATAGCACAATATCATTTTGGATATAAATGCTTAACAACTGCTACTTAAATGTTCAGTTGGTATTAATTAGTGAGTGCTCCTAAGAGGGGAAATGATAGCTTCAACAGGTAGAGATATATTCCTTTTCATAATATAGGTATCTTTGGAGTTTTGCATTACATGGCATATGTTACATAAAATAACTAATTTAAAAAATGCTTTCATAACTCTAAGTACTATAAAAAGCTAGTTGGTGGAGAAGAATCACATCTTTTATATTTTCTCAATGTTCTCTATCGGTATGCTTTCTGATGCTGGCAGACCTTAAAAACAATGTATCCCATACCAGATAAAACTTGGAAAAATGAACTTCTATGCTTCAGGTTCCTGAGATTTACAGCATTAAAATTTGTAGAATAGGTAAATACATGTACTTACGCCTCAGTTTGCCTGTGTTGCTGTTCTTGAAGACAAGCTAGATCCTTCATATGTTTAATTTGTGCTTTCAAATCATTGTTCTGGAGGTACAAATGGTGACAATGAAGATCTTTATTGAGTTCCTAGGGAAAACAATGTAAACTATCAGATTCCTTTGAGAATGTAAAAACTAAATCAATTTTAATAAAACGTTTTATATTGATGTCAATAGACTTAATTTTTTTTACATATGCAACAATATGCTCGGAAACACTTTGAAAAATGAGTGTTCTGGCACAGGCGTCTATAACTTACAAGTGAGATGAGTTTCAAGCTTCCTCAGAAACAGAAGGTCAGAAACTCTAACAAATTTTATTATGGGGACAGTTTCTTGGTCTATCCAACTTGTTCGTAATAGTGTGAAAATACATGAATATGACCAGTTTTTGCTTAAATGTCACATCTTTATGGAGGCTTTTCTTGAGCTTTACATTTAATGATGGACACTCTCTGTCCCCATTAGTCTCTGTCATAGTATTGATTAGTAACTTTATATAGTTCCTGTCAGTGCTAGACCTAAGGTTCACTGTAAGAACAGGGGCTGTGCCAGACTAGTGCAGTGTTATTACCCCAGTTTACATTGTGTGGAGTTGCATGTAATCACAATGTCTTGCTTGAACTCAATCTTGTTATAAGCTTCATCCTATAGCAAAAGTGTACAAAAGCCTTTTGTAGGCTCTCATTTCCCTAATCCTTATGTGTGTAGGCCCAAGTGCTATCTAATCGACCACGTAAAATTACTTATCTTTCCTCAAACTTACTAAAACTTGAGTATGAAATATATCAGCGAAGTGGTTACACTGAAACACTGGTAGTAATGCAACAGCATTCTCAAAATCTTTAACTGGGAAAATTTCAGTCAATATTTTGAAAGGAAGTGAGGGGCTGAGACAGTAGTCTGGTAAAGCAAGGGAGCCATGCCTGAAAACACCTTCCGGAGGACGATTCCCAAATCCATTTTAGATTTTCAGTGTTCCTCCCAACCTGCAGTTGACTATTAATTCTCTAAAAGCTTAAAAGCCCCTCCTTCCACCTTTTTTAATACTTCCCATGCCCAGTGGTAGGCACCATGACAGGAAAACAATGTCAATCTTTGTATCCTAGATATATTAAAGTTAGGGCTTACTTACATGACTCATATAATTCTACTTCAAAAAATACAACAAGTATTTTAGAGAAAACTCTCTCTAGGAGTCAGTATATATAATATGGTTAGAGTGCTGGTCTGTATCAGGTACTTTTAGAGATAGTTTCAGCCATCACACTAGTGCAATGTTAATCCAAGAAAAAGGTCCTTATGGAGATTAATTTATTTGACTAAAATTGAGAGCCTGGATATATGATCTCTTTAGTGTTTTCCAGTTAGAAAATAAATTCAATGATCCTAACTGTATTTATTTGCCAAATATCCCATCTTTTCTCTTAAAAAAAAATCCCTTCTTTACCCGCTTTGTCTGTTAACCTTACTCCTTGTTTTGAATGGCTCTTCTTTTAAAAAGGCAAGCCTTGATTGTGTATTAGTCAATAATGGGCCTTGGCTAGCTTGCCATCTTTGTAAAACCAAGTTTACAATTTGAGTCTTTCCTTGTCTTCATACTAATGATTAAAACAGCATGGCCTATTCTGAGAACTACAAGTACGTTAGTAATGGCTGAAGTGAAAAATATAATGAGGTGATATATAAAACTTGAGAGGTATTCAGGTGTCATGCTAGGCCTGGGAAATCATAATAGAGAGATTATATTAGGGAGAAAGCACTGAACAGTGATATGATCAGAGTTACATTTTAGAAAGCTCATTTTAGTTGCAGTAGAGAGAATGAATTACAGTGTAATATGAATGAAGGCAGAAAGACCAAATGTAGCAGTCCACTAATGGAAGCGGGGGGGGGGGGGAGGGTAGAAGTTGCAGGGGGAGGGTCCTAATTTAGGGTAGTGGCAGAGGGAGAGAGAAATGGATAGATTTGAGAGAGTAAGAGGCAGATAATGCAGGAGGGTACAGAATAAAAGAGCACCAATTTGAAAGTCACAGTGCTAGGTCTGTCCAGAGTTGTATGACTACGGATAAGTCCTTTTAAAGACTGGTATCTCCATTTCCTTATGTATAAAATAATAGCTTATAAAGAGATAATTACTTTAGCTATAAAAATAGCCACAGGAAAATGAACTTAGAGTGGAATTAGGGTGGCAAAAATGGAAACAGTTCAATTTTTTTCAAATTATAATCATGCATTAAAACACAAGGACTTAAAAATCAATTTTAGGTTCATACTCAGGTATGGAAAAGTTCTGCTTAAAAGAGTTGTAGAAAACAGAATAATGGAAACATTCAAGTTGACTATATTAAAAAATTAAATTTACTGAAAATAACCCAAACAATATCAACTCAAAAAATGCTAAGTAGTCCAAAAGACAAAAACAAATTAGCAATAATAATAATAATGCTAAAAGGAATAATACTAAGCCATTTTTTAAAAATTGGGAATTTATGATAAATATGGGAAAGCAAAGGCAAATTAAAACTAGTGAACTTACACAATTGTTTATTTTCCTCTTATAAGTTCTTAAGTATTTCTCTAGTTGAGGTTGAGTCATAAATTAGAATGTCGATTATACAAATGTATTAAGTTAATAGGAGTATAATATAAATTAATTAAAACTATTATAAAAATTAGTGAAAATACTCTAGTAATAACATTTAAAAACTATATATTAATTTTTTAAATGAATGTTAACATCACTTGAATTATAGACTTAAAAATGGTTAAGAAGGTAAATTTTATTATATTTTAACAAATGCAAAAAAAATTTTAGACCCTTCATCAGAAAGTTTTTTTCACTAGATGAGCTAAATATTCTATTAAGACATCATGACCCTAAGTAATAGTCATAAACAAAACTAAAGAATCTAATATTTATTTTAAATTAAGGTAAAAAATTTATCTCTACCAAAATACTTATAATTTTATGTCATTTAGACAACAACTGTCTTGAGAATAAGACTGTTTTAGATATATATGGTGTCTAACAAATGAGTGAAACTTATTATAAATAAGTAAAACAGAACAAAAGCTACTATAAACATTCAACATCTGTTAACTTCTCAAGATAATCAGCTCTTGTACACTGAATGAGAAACACTCGTTTGGCCAGGAATACCAGCTGTTGTCTCTGAAAACCTTTTATCCAGAACATGGCTGGGTGCTCTGATGCAGACTGTTGCATTCTGTGATGAGCCTCTACAGTTTCAGATGCCTCACACCTAGCATGGCATTTCAAAAGTTATATTTTCTAACCTAGAAAGTTCCTATTATAGTTTATTGATTAACCATTTTTTTTTGCTTACTCATTTTAGCTCATATAAGTATGTCCATTGTATCACCTTAGAGATGAGCATAGCATTTTTTAAAAATGTGTTTTTGTTCTTCTAGAGTAAATATTATTAATGTTATATCAAAGAAAAAATGACTTTAAAAAAAAAACAAAATTGTATGAATGTGACCTCCCAATCTCCCATCGGAGAGAAGATCAATATTGCTCTATGATCAGAATCTCTAAGGCATCTATGACCCAAAAAGTCAGAATTTCTATTTTGGAAGAAAAGTGGAAAATGGATTTCATAATGCACCCAACTCTGTTGTGATCCTTTAGCGAACTTTTTTTTGGCTACTATGTTATTGTTACTTAGAATATTACTTAACTATTATTTATTAACCGTACAGTATGTGTTAAGTGGTACTAGGCCTTTGCATACAGTATTTCACTTAATTTCATAATGCCTTAAATATATTTTAAAGATGAAAGATTAAGACAACAAAGTTAAACAACTTGTTCAAATTCACAAAATTAGTGTTAAAGCCAGTATTCAGCACAACTATCATGTATCAGAATTACTAACCACTTCAACTCCAAAGTCTATCCTCTTTCCAATATTTACATTCTCTCTGTAGGGAATATTTTCAAGTGCTTTATCAATTAAGTTATACTATAAAATATTATTAAAGTATATGCTGAACTACATTTAATTCCTAATTCACTAAACTGACTAGCTGGTATGCTGTCAGCAGGACATTTTGAAGACTTCTAGAATTACTGAGGTATAGATTAGGTTGTTGGCTGGCCCTCAGTGAATCTCCACACTAAGGAACTATTCAGTCTCTATTTGTCTTTGCCTTTCTTCTTAAGAAATGGTGACTTCTCCTTGCTGCTCCTTTCTTTGTCATCATTAACTACTCTTGCTAGTCTCTCCAGTTTGAGCTTTAATGCTTAAAAAAAAAAAAAAAAAAAAAGCAAGCAAGCCATTTACAACTATTGCTATCTAATCAGGGGAACCATTTTCCTGGTCATGATGAACTAGCTAATATCTCTGAATTATAGCAGAAAAATTGATATCTTTGAATATTAATGATCACTAGCTTCATCCATTTGTTACTGAATATTTTATGCTGTATTTCATTGTATTCATTTTCAGTCTAGTGCTTTTCTAGAAATATGAAGATTCTAGGATTAGATACTAATTAGCTGATACAAAATATAGAATTTCAGAAGAGCAACATCAAGGTAAAGTTGCTCCTCCTTTAAAAAAGAAAAGAATGAGAAGTTCTTTTAAAGTATTAGGTAGCTGAATCAAAATTAGTTACTTTATTTGCTGGCTGTTCATTCCATATTTGCTTACCCTCCCTTTTTTTTGATTAAGAGAGAACTCTAATTTTGTTTTTGTTAATAATGTGTCTAGCAAAAACACTCACCTCTCCAGATACCCTTGTAGTTAGGCATAGCCATATGACAATTCTAGCTAATAAGGATAAGTCTGCCAGGAATTACTGAAAAAGATTTTCCTCTCACAATATAGATATCCCTCATGCTTCCTCTTTTTCCTCTTCTTCTGGGCTAAGTCTGAATTGAGACTAAAGATGGAATAGTGATGCTGCAACTATGAAATGACAAGTACAATGATGACAATGATGACATTTTGGAGGTACTGTATTAAGAAGGAACTACATATTCCACCCTGGCCAGGTGGCTCAGTTGGTTGGAGCATCATTCCATGCACCAAAACACTGCAGGTTCTAGTCCTGGTCAGGGCACATACATAGGTTGTGGGTTTGATCCCTCAGTGGGAGCGTGTATAAAAGGCAACAGATTAATGTCTCTCTTGCGCATTGATTTTTCTCTCTCTCTAAAATCAATAAATATATCCTTGGGTGAGGATTAAAAAAAAAATGAACTGCACATTCTCAAGACTTACTGTTAAGGGACCAAATATAGCCCTAACTTTAAAACACTAAAGTCAGGTTTCTTTAACCATATGGCTGAACACAGTTTTAACCAGATTCATCCATTAACCATCAATACCCATGACTACTTCTTATAAATATAATCTTTTGCCACTCCAGGTGAAAATATCTTCAGTTTAGTACATACACACACATGCATACAGCTGTCAAATCAGCTTTCTTTAGCCATATATAAGCAAATGGCGACCAGTTCTAAAATTCTTTTTGCACAAAATATCAAGTATTAAAACAAACTAAAATTACCTAGAAAATTATTCTTCAAGTACAGTTTGAAAAAAAATTACTTTATGCTAAATCAAGAGTTACCTCATAAAAAAAGCAATTGCTTACGAATAACAACAATTAAAAGTAACTTAACTCTTCTTAATGTACAAAAAGGCAAATCTATTTCGCAGGTAATTAGTAAGGCAGGAGGTATATTCAATTAAAGAACAGTGAAGTTAGTCAATTAAATCTCAGAGAAGTGGAGCAATTGTCTTCTGAAAGATATTTACTTAAGAAGAAAGACGAGTTCAAAGAGCTCAGTTCTTACAAGATAAATCTGAGTATACAGGCATATTTTGTTTTATTGTGCTTCGCAGATTCTGTGTTTTCACCAACATCAAGGCAATACTCTCCATCAGCAAAAAGATTATGACTAAGATCATGGCTAGCATTTTTTAGCAACAAAGTACTTTTATATAAACGTAAAAACATTTTTTTTTTTCTATAACACTATTGCACACAACAGAGTACGGTACAGTGTTAACATAATTTTTATGTGCGCTGGGAAAAATTCGTGTGACTTGCTTTATAGAGCTATTCTCTTTATCATGGTGGTCTAGAAATGAACCCACAATTTTCTCTGAGGTATGCCTGTACAAACATGTCTGTACCTCTGGAATATGACCATTTTGACCTAAGAGTCTCATTTCGGTTTCAACACGATGGAGCCAATTAGTATTCTCATCAAATCGCTTCAATTCCTCCTCTTTTTTCTTCTGTAGGTAGCAACGACGGGTTTTCAACATTGCAAGTCTATGGTCTCGTTTGCAAGTGGCCTGAAAAACAATGCATTTCAGTCAACCTTATTCTTAGGATATCTGACGCATGTGTTATTAGTAAAGTAGTATTTTCTCATAAGTGTGCACTTGTAGTTTATTAAGTAAGGCTATACTTTCATACTTAAAGCTATTTCCTCTTTGAAATCTTACAATATTACTGCTCGCAGGAAAACAAAAATTGAGTTGTGAGTCATTGTTTATAAAATTACATGGTGAGAGTTTATGGCTTTAAGAAACACACTGGCCAAGTTGAATACTTTAATTTGTGTGTGTGTTAAAATGTGTTCCCTTAAATGTTTCATTTGAAAAGTCCATACGTGGTCTTGTAAGTCCCATGATTTCCTTCTTCTGTATGCTCTTGTCTTCCCTCCAATTTGAAAGGTGGAAAGAAATAGTGTTTTACTGCTCTGATTTTGCCTGTAGAGGCTTAAGGTTGGTTGGTGTAAATGACAGAAAATAGAGCTTATATCAGAGTGGTCATAAATATCTGATCTTGCCTGATGAATAACAGGTATTCTACATATTTTCAGTGCTTTACCCAGTCCTCACTCGGGATCAAAATTGGCCTTTTGATTTCTTACCCCAAGGGTCTTGCATACTATCCTAGGGACTGGCGGCCAGAGCAGCTTGACCTGTCCAGGCTATTTGCCAAAAAGACACTGACCTCTATAATCATCAAATATGATGGCTGGAACCGAGACAATAGATCCCATGGATTAAAACATGCTCCTGCAGCTGATTTTGGAAGTAGGAAACTACATGGGGGGTGGGGGAGTAAAGACAACAGGAACTACATTTCAACATGGTCAAAGACCTTACTCTCTTTAGGAGATAAATTCTTCCTTAGTATTTTTTTAAAAGCATGTATTGACATTTTAGGGAGAAGCCACGCATCAAAGAGATTTGCAAAAATGTGAAAGAACATTACGTTTCTCACTGCCTCTTTTTCTTTGTTTATAAAATACAATCAGTTATTTTTCATTACAGTGTTACTTATGTTATCATGCAATGGATTAATCAATTATTTTTAAAATAATACATAATTAAAAATAATCATTATTTTTAAAATAATGTATTTTTATACATCTGAGTTTAAATTTCTAATATGGAAATATTGGTAGATGGAATACACATAAACAAAAGCTCTTTGAGGTCCTAAATTATTTCTTTAAAGCAGAAAGGGGTCCTGAAAGGCTGAAAAGTTTGGAACCACTTCTGTAACAGAAAGTAGGATATATGGCTTCTTGACTTTCTTCTGCTTAGCATCAGGTCTGAAAGCTTAGGCAAGTCAATTTCAGTTAGTATTCAGTTACTTCATCTGAAAAAATGAACACAAGTACTGTACATGTCCGAAAAAAGGCAGTTCAGTCAAATTGTCTTTACATTGCTTTAACAATTATAAATATTGTAGTATTCTTAGAAATCAGGGCAGAAAATGATCTGTGCATCTGATGGCAGTCAATATTTAATAACAAAAAACCCTAAACATACTAAAAAGTATGTTTTGAGTTTTTACTTCTATTGTTCATCAAATGTATCCCTTATGATGGTTCTCTATGTAGATATTTTCCATTAGGGTACTCCTATTGAATCACTGTTCTGAAATAAAGGAATGTTTGGGAATCAATTCTAAAATATGCATCTTAAACCCTGATGTTAATGTAAAATATTTCCCATTAAGGTTTCAAAGAGCTTTACATATTTTATTAACAAAATCCTCAAAATACCATAGAAGGTCTTGAGTATAAACATAAAATTCTAAAATTTAGGTGTTACTACTGCTTTGTGCAAAAGGACCACTAATAAGGTGAACTCATTATTTCACTAAAATATATATGCATATTATCTCTACAAAGCTATAAAATTACCCAGGAGCTTCACGTTAATACTAATCTCGGAGTCCCTACTCCAGAACCACTTATAGTTGAAACAATGTCAGGAGATTCTTTTAGCACTTCTGATAATAATCCTCCTTTGGAGAGAGTCCAAGAAAGATATAAAAGTTCTTACCTTAGCAAGCAGTTTAGTAAGACTAAATGTTGACACTTCTGTGTGTAAAAAATAAACAAAAACACACACACACAAAGAAACACATGCAACCCCCACCCCTCCAACTGAGCCTCTAGATATCTTCCCATGTTTTTAAATAGTTTAAATACAACCAATAAACTCAAGAGGTTTTATCTCCATTGCTTACCTAGGCTCATAAGAATACCTATAAGCAACATGTAGATTGAAGTAACCAAAAATAAGAAATCATAAGACAGATGGGTTGAAGAAAACATTACCAAGCAGAAGAATCAAGATGAAAACTGAAAAAAATTATACAAACAAGCCAAACCTATTCTGTTACTATGTCTTAATTGTTGTAAGCATTTACATTCAATATTCAATGGTGTAAGTAAAAGAGTAAAACAACTTTAAATTAGTCTGGGCTTAAACGGACCAAATTTATTAATTGTACTAAATAATATTCAAATGTTTAAAAAGTGACAGTCTGATTCTAAGCTCTATTAATGTGCTATTCCTTTACTTCAAAAACTGGCTTTTGAGTACAAAAATAGATTGTAAAATTCCTGGCAACCAAAATTTCCACAATCTGGCCCCCTAGTCTTTCTTCCCAACTGACTGTCAGTAACTCTCAATGTGGCAAATAGGTTTTATATCAGGTGCCATCTCCAATCCATCCATAGTGGTCAGCTCTGGCAACTTAAGATATAGAAAGAAAGAGTATGGCAATCAGTCAATGGTATTTGCTATGGGTAAGGGATTGGGAATTGACAGGAAGCTGTCAGCATAGTTATATACTTCCATACACACTGTCCCATAAATATACTGTGCTCTGGTCAAACTGTTATCCTACCTAGAATATATTATTTCTATTTGTTTTTTCTCCTATTAATATTTTCATGTAAGGCCCAATATAAATCTCATTTCTCCACCAGGAAGTCTTTCTTAACCACCACAATTGGAAGCCACTGTTTTCTTCTTGGATAACTACAGCATTTAGAGTATTTAAAGTACAGTAGAATAATTTAAGAGGACAGACTTTGGGGCCATATAGACAGTGTTTAATATTGGTTCAGCCACATTAATTAGGCGTATAACTCAGAAAACTTACTTGAATTCCTGGTGCCTTTGTTGCTCACAAACAGTGATAACACAGGAACTACCTCAAAGACTTATAAAAATTACTAAACAAACCATGCCATGGCAAGGACTCTGAAAAGCACTTAGTACATTGTCTGGTATATGGTGCTCAATAATATTAGCTGTTTTTTATTAATGCACTATTACTACTTAGATGACATTTAGTGCCTTATTTTTATATTATTTTATTGCTTCAACTAACTTATAAATAATTTAAGGGCATACAATGTCTCATACTTTTCTTTACCTATATATTGTGTCCAGTATAATGCTTTGCCTATAAACAAGTGTTCAATACAACCTGTCGTTAAAAATTAAGATACTAAGTCAGTATCAGCTTCCCATGATTGAATTTGCCTTTCCCTCCCGCCCCCAAGAAACAAATCAGATAATTACATCTTCAGATAACTGACATTTATGTAATGGATACCTATATAAAATTGAAAAGAATTATTATCCCTGCTAAAAATTAATCTATTAGTGCAAATAATTGAGATAAATACATAATATAGCACTATTTCAGAATTCTATTTAGTAAGCATCTGAAAGGGGTTCACAATGAACTGATATATTAATTCTATGAGATATTCTGTTATTTGGACACCATTAAGGTTATCAAAAATGCTGGCATTTTGCAGTTCAAGAAAGTTAAAATACATAATATAGTGAGAAATCTCAAAGATATAAATTCAGTTTTATTTTGCCTTTAAAGGATGTGAACATTTTAAATACAGCTTGAAAAACAAAATTAATTTCCTGTATTCAATACATTATTACTGAGTACACAAAAACAGCACTGTGCTGTACAGCTGTAGATCTTTGGGGCATAACTGTCTTGCGTAAGTGAAACTCTGTACCCTTTGTACCCTGGTTTCGCTTTCCTCACAGCATCTGGCAACCACCATTCCACTCTCTACCTGGTTTGACTATTTTAGATTTGTTCATACAAATGGTATCAGGCGGACTATGTCCTTCTGTGTCTGGCTTATTTCTCTTAACAGGTCCTCCGGGTTCATCTATGCTGTAACAAATGGCAGGATTTTCTTCTATTTTTATTTTTTTTTAAAGCTGAATGATAGTCTACTGTTGTGTACTTAAAAATTACTACGAGGGTAGACCTTATGTTGTTGTTATTAAAATAACAGTAGTAAGTATAAAGAGGATGGGAGGAAACTTCAATAGGTGAGGCGCAGGCTTATGGCACAGACTGTGGTGATGGCTTCTTTACTAATCTTTATGTCCAAACCCGTCAAGTTGTATACATTAAATACAATTTTGCTGAATGTCTGTCATACCTAAATAAAGTAGTTTATTGAAACTGGTGTTTTCAATAAAATAAGCAATAATAAATGTATCCTCAGTAAATAAACTACTAATTTTGATAATATAGTTTAAGAGCCGATAAACTGGTATCAATGAAACACTGATAAATAATTCATGATTAGTTTAGTATGTCACATCTTTCCAATTTCACAGGCTGAGAAAAAAACTGAAAGCCTATTTTTTTAAGGCATTTTTTAAAATCTGACCAGTTTCAGACATTTAAAAACAGGTAAAAAATTTTATATATAATTGTTACCCCTGGGAAGGTGGAAAAAGAAGAAAACACATGTGGGGTGGTGGTCAGAGAGAACTTGCAGTTGTAAGGGAAAGCTTTTTTAATAAATAACATATGAAATGTATATCATGCATTTCCTGTGTAATTACATAAATGCATAAAAAATTAACCTTATCATCACTGAATACAAAAACTGAGGAAAATAATTATCCAATATTTTTAAAATGTTTATTTTTCTAATGTTTGGTGATCTGGCTTTGTACACGTTCAGGTATACAATTTTATTTTTATCATGCTTTGAGCTCATGCTTCTTGCATTTATATCTCACTAGTCCTAAAAAATTCAAAACTTTAAATTGTTCATATTATAGTTTCCCCTTTCGCACTAATACATCTATTAGAGAAATTCACGATTTTTCGGTCTTTCATGTAAAATTTTGTTCACATTTGCTACCTTTTTACATCATGATCTCCTCAGACCTCCCAGTTCCTTAATTCCCTCTCCAGCTATATTTAACAGGTAACAGGCACAGGGATAAGAGCACAGGCTCTGGCCTCAGCTTTCTTAAGTTCAGATCAAAGCTCTGGCACCTATGAGCTCTGTGACCCTTGGGCCCAGAAAAAAATGAATTCTTTGTGCCGTTTCCTCACCTTAAGTATGAGGATAATAATATTACATATTTCATGGATTTTTTCAGAATTAAGTGAGTTAATATATTCAGAGTGCTTAAAACATTTCCTAGTGTTTATAAGGCAAATTTTTCAATTTCAGTAAATAGATCTTTAGTTCTTGGACATTTTATTTGTTTTCTCTTTAGATATGGATGTTCTTTTTATCTTGACTCATTTATCGTTAATTCTTTTTCAATGATTTTATACATTTTTACAGTTTTTATCAGATTGTTCTATTATCTGAAGTTCTAGGTATTCTGCTATATTTGCTAAATCTACGGATTTGCTTATGTAAACTGTTCCATGTGTTTGGATTTTGGGGCAGTAAGTTCTCACTGGTGGTATGAGTTGAGGGTCTATTTCACTAGGCTCATTTTGTATTGCTTCTGTCTAGTTCCACATAGACTATCACTGGTCTGATTCCATTTTCCACATTAATTTCTTACCTCAGAAATTTGTTAAACAAAATATGTGAAATGGTAAAAATTTAAATCTCAAATCTTGTGAAAATACCATATATCTATAGTGAAAGTCTTCCAGTGAGATTTTTTCCCCTTATTCCAGGCTCGGTTACTTGTCTTCCTCCCAGTGCTAGCTGTTAAGATCTTTTTTCCTGGTGTACTCCCTATATACGGGGTGCAGGCCTCTGAGGTTCCAAGCTTTAAGTGGGGGCTATCATTTTTAACTCACTGTCTCCCTTGGGTCTGTTATCTCAGCAGCGGTGTACATCAAGAACGGAGAGTAAAAATGGTTTGTGTGTGTGCACAGGGAGGGCAGGGCATGCCTACATTAAACAATAAAACCGACTAAAAGTTGCTCTGCTTTATTCAGCACTATGCAATGGCAAGCCTAGCAGTGTCAGTGATAAAATATTCTTCCCTGGGAAAAAAGTCTGCCGTTGGTCTGAGTGGTACCCTGTAGCCTGGATCTGGGGAAGACTGCTCCCGCTGTCCCAGCCGCAGTACTCAACTCTCCTTGAGTGCTAGCTTCACTCATGTTAAGCCTTTTATCAGCTCGCACAGAAGCAAGGTGCCACGGACGTTCTTTCTTCTACAATTAACTATATCTTTAAAACAAGGTTTCCTACATTTCCTCTAGAACTTCCAGGTGGTTGTAGAGAATGGGTGATTAAGGAACACTGCCTCGCAAATTTTTAGATCTGGAAGTTCCCATGTTTTTGAGAGGGTATGGGAGTGGGGAGGGGGAAATAAATGGTGATGGAAAAAAATAAAATAGAGTTGTTAAATACCTTTTCCACTTTGTCTTCAGAACACATCATTTCTATTTGTCTGTGGCACTGCTGTTGGTAGAATGACTTAAGCTCATTTTCTTTCAGTAACATTTCCAACTTCAGATATTCTAGCCTAATTTCTTCTCGATTCTGGAACAAGCAATTCAGAATTTCTTGAAATCTATAAAAAATAAAATACTTTATATAGTCTCACTAATTCTGTGATAGGTAACAGAGATTATTTAATGAAAGGCATAAACAGAAGATACAGCACTCAGAATGGGACTCAGTGATAAACAGCAAATTGGTTAAAGTGACTGTTAAATTGCAAAATTGTTTGGAAAAAGTTATTAACTATTTTTACTACACTGGTTCTCTCTCCTTCAAGAAAGATCATATTAAAAATATATGTATTATAACATCTCTGTTATTAGTCAGTCATATACTGTATTTTGCTTAGCAAAAATAAAATATTTGTAGGAAGTAAGTGATAATCTGGAGCCGTACTACCCCAATTCACAAGGCCCCCAAAGCAACACAGTATTGTGTGTGATTCTGGTGTTTGCTCACCGTAAAGAAATAAGCAGTGCATGGCATGATCATATGGAGCCTCCAGTGCCCCGTAGGGAAGGCGAGAGAGCCAGTTTTTCGCTTTAGAATTTGTTAGAGTGAAAACACACCATAAGGTAGGTACCCCCTACAGCCTGGCTAAGAGTCAGTGACACTGGCCATGATCCAAAATATCCAAGTTTGCAATGCGGTACGCCTGGAAAAGCCACTCTAGTGCGTTTCCTCAAAAGGGCAGCATAGATTTAGAGATTCAAAGTTGGGGAGTTTGACTCATATCCCCTCCAAATGCATAAAGACCTCAATCTGAAAAACACCTCTGAAAGCCCTAGAATGACCCTGCAATCCCACATCTGTTAGGTCAACAGAGCATTTGTCATAGCAATATCGTAATTTTATAAAAACATATTTACACTTTTAAGCCATAGATCAGTTCTGAGCTGTAGCAACAGTATAAACAGTAGAGTCACATACAAGCAAAATCCTCAAGGAAAAATTAACTGTGAAGCCTTTAAATAAAACTGTAACAAAGTACATGCCCTTAAAAAATAAATGTTCTTTGGCTAAATTTTAGATATATTTGTAGGGATCTGTGGTAAAAACACTGCCAATTTACGTCAGTAGTTCTTAATGAAACTCCATTGGGAATGAATATAAACCACAATACATCGACTTTACTGCAATTTTGTCAAACTGATAAATATTTCATAGAAAGTATGTACGGACATTGCAATTTCATTGTATTATATTACAACAATGCTAATGCCAGTAAATAAACTGGTAAGTTATCTTTAGGTTAAAGCCAAAGATAATTTCTTAGTTTTTCTTTAACATTTTATTCAAGGACATAGTTAAATATTTGTTAGTTTTGGATTTTGGTGATGCAGACTTATTTCAATTACTGGTGTTTAGTGATCAGGATGAAGGAAAGGGAATTAGTATCAAAGAATGCTGAAGTGCTCCTTTATAAAAAGAAAACACCCAACATTTTAAAACAGAAAGTTCTAAGGGACTGACAAATAACTATTTTTTAGTCATTTAAAACATTTAAGTAGCCAGAAAACAAAAATCTTTGTTAATTATTTAAGATGATATATGATGAATATTAAACTCTATACAATTTTCTTGTTACAGACACAAGTAAAGCTTTATAATTACTCTGCATAAAGTACAATTGTATTTTCTTTTTGAATATTGTATTTCCAAATAGTTTTGATAGATGTTAGATACTGCATTTCTTCCCTTTATCTGTTTAAACTTCCTAAACATGTTATTTATAAAGACACTGCAAATTCATGGCATTAAAAAAATTCTATGTAACACAGTGTGATCAATATGATGAAAAGTATTTCATTTGTTTCAGGAGATAGTTACTTTTAAGGGAAAATGACAAAGGCTATAGGGTATATCATTCTATCATTACCTTCTTTTATACAAGTGAATTATTTAACATGCTGCGTGACTTAAAACTCAAAAGTTTTTATTGTTAGTCAAGTAGGGTCAAATGTGAAAAATACCAAAATAAATGCATATTTCAAAGCTTAGGCCATCGCTCTCCTGAATCATTTTACCAGAAGGAAAGGTTCAACAACAGGAAGCATCGTCAGCCGTAGAAGTCTACTAATTTGTAAGGTGTTAATTGGTAACCAGATATGGTTAGGCAGCGCTAAGCAATTACATGTAAGCAATGACTCCAAATCTGAGCAGCTGGCAACTTAATTTTCAAGTAACTCGCACCAACAAAGAGGTGACTGGTTGCATGAAGGCCAGTCCCACATCTGGCTTACAAATAAAATAATGGCCGAACTACTAATAATACAGCAATTGAAAGTTTTCTTCGATTAAGACAATGAATAATGAGGAATCACTTTTACTTATTTTTTTTTTAAGACACTATAAAATTAGTGGGATATATCAAAAAACCTAAGACTAATAAAATTTTAGTAACTAAAATTTAAAAAGTAATTGTTACTAGTAAGACTAGTAACAATTTTATTTTGACAATGGGTTGTTATGGCCATTAACAGAAAATAATTTAAACACTTAAGAAAATCTCCACTATAAACAAAGCTCTTATACTATAATAATATATGTTACTTTTCCAATACATTATTATATTATGTGTACTTCAAATCTATATGACCTTATTAACCAATGTCACCCCAATAAGTTTAATAAAAAAGTAAAATATCTAAATTTAAAAAGATTTTTTTATATATATATGTTAACTATATTAATATGAAAAACTGACTCATTGTCATTAATAGAAATAACTTTAATTCCCATGATATTTGTGAAATAGCATAGTACGGGAGCAAAAGGATTAATATTCAAACGAGATGACTTTTATAGTTCTTACTCTTATCTGTCAAATTTCAAAGGGTTGTTGTAATGATCAGATAAAATTAATACGGCCCTAAAATTCATTACAGACTATGAAGAGGAAGAAAAAAATTTTTTTTTTCAAGTCAAGGATATTTTATGTAAACTCAATATACAAATCCAATTTATAAAAGGTGTTGTACCTGAAACTAAAATGAGGTCACTGCTGACCAGTCTTAGGTACTCTGGAGTTCCAAAACGGGGTCAATAACCAATGGTTTAAGTTGTGATTAGTTTCTCATACTAATGATAACAGAAAATTGGCTCTAGGAAATGTCACTTAAGTTTTACTTTAATCAAAGTTGAACAGATTTCTTTACTACAGGGCCTCACAGAGCCTTCGATATGCTGATGTACTTTGGAAATCTTTTAGATTCTTTAGCAAGTAATATATAAACGTGTTTGATACAGGAATTCCCTAGTCTTTTAGAACTCCTCAAGATTCCTAGCCTTTGACCCATCTAGACCAGGGGCCCCCCACCCCCGGGCCACAGACCAGTACCCCCTGGGCCTGCTGGGAGCCCACAGCAGGAGGTCAGCTTAAATGTAACCACCTGAATCGTCCCAAAAGCCTCCTCCCCGACACCCCCACCGTCTGTGGAAAAAATTGTCTCCCACGAAACTGGTCAAAAAGGTTGGGGACCACTGAACTAGACAATTCGGAAAGCTGTCGTAATTGTTTAGGGAAAAAGTACTTTTGAGTAAGGTATATTAACAGCTCTTTTTTCTTTTAAATTTACCTGCTAAGAAGCTTTGTGTGAACCTACAAAAATTCTGCATTAATTTATATCATTGAGAGATATTCTTTTAAACAATTAACCACTTAGATTCATTAAGTGGATTATTATGATTTATATACATATATAGCTAAATGTATACATAATGTATACAAATAATGACAATGCCAAACATTACTGCTGGACTGTGTCCTCTGAAATTCATGTTGAAACCTAACACTCAAGGTGATTAGGAGGTGGGGCCTTTGGGAGGTGGTTAGTTCAGGAGGGCAGAGAGCCTATGGATGAGATTACTGCTCTTACAAAAATGCTCTAGACGTCTCCCTCTTTTTCAGCCATTTGAGGATTCAAGAAGTCTACAACCTAAAAGAAGGCCAGCACCCAACCATGCTGGTACCCTGATCTTCAACTTCTAGACTTCAAAATATTTTTTTTTATAAGCCATCTAATAGTCTGTGGTATTTTGTTATAGTGGCTTCAATGGACTAAGATACCTGAGAAAACCAATAAGAAAACCACTAAAAACTAATTTGGTAACTGACATAATTGGGTTTACTATCTCCATATTATACCCAAGGCCTGGTTCTCATTATCTGTATAATCACAACTAAAATTAATTGGTCACTCAACTTGTACCATATAAAGACCAATCAGTGACTTCCAGAATTCAGTTGAGAATTTATATAAAGACATACTTACACAACAATTAATATCAAAATATTTGACAAAATTCCAAAACAATAAAAAAACCTCAAAATGATATCTTAATGTCAATTTTACCTTTCAATTTCTTTTTTCTGAGGGTTTAAAATCATTAACTCTGTTTTGTTATTTTCTTCAGTAAAGGCCTTCTGTTCTTCATAGGCTTTTAGTTTTTCTTTTAACATTAAAATCTAGTAGAGAGAAACAATAGTTAAAATACAAAACAAATTACTTGTCTCTATTAAACATGGCCACAGAAAATATTAGCTATGAAAAATAACTGAACAAGCCAGATTTCAACTGTAGCAGAAACACAGGTCAAATTTTTAGACAATTAAGATCACAGAGTCCCATAAATGAGGAACTGAAGGAAATTAGCATAACAATGTAAAGAGCTGTCATACCTCTTTCTTCTGCTCATTACAGATCTTTACATACTGAGTTATATGATTGTCAAGGTGAAGAACATTGCTCTTCAACTGTTAAAAGATAGAAATTATGATTGCATATAGAGAAAGAAATAAATCACAATAACGTAGTTATATATACGAGCAAAATGGCATCATACACTCATAATTCAGTTCATGAATTCAGAATCTGTGGAAAATATAATCACGAGACAAACATGATCAATTATGCTCATGTTTAAAACCTATGACAAGAGGGTATGTTGAGCACATTAATAATGTAAATGAAATGATAAATTGCCTTACTATCTGAGAAAAAGTATTTTTAAGAACTTTCATGGCATTCATTCTCAATATAATAAAAATTTCCCATTTTCTTTTTCCTCTGACTTTTAGGAAATTCAGAGATAATTTTAAGATCCAGCCATTTGTAAGTTCAACTAGTGTTCAATGAATTATTACATTTTATACCTTATAAAATAATATGGGCCCCTTGGCAGCTATTAAATAGTGGAGAGGACATTAAACATAAAAGTCCCAATACCTGATTTAGAGGTCCCTCACCTCTCAGTTAAATAACTTAGAATTCAGGACTTATAACTCTGAGCATGGGCTTCCTCAACTGTGGAGCTAAAGATGCCTTTGATGATGGGTTGGTGTGAGAATCATGTCAAAAACCTTTGTTTGCTCATATTCTACAATCTTTAGCAACTAATTATATAAATAGTATATAAACACTTCCCTAAGGAAGACAATAACATGCTTATGTTCTTTCAATGGGAATAGCAGAAGGGAAAGCGGGAGAGATTATCATACCAGTGGAACTGTAGGTCTTCTCAAATCCTTAGATCCCGTGATTTTAAATACACATCATGTCTAACATATATTTTTTAATTACTCCAAATTATTTGCAAAAAAGTGCTGATAAAATCAATTGTTCTATTGCTGGAGCTAGAGACTGATTACATCAATATCATAAATGCAGAAATAAATGATTTTTAGAAAGCTATTTACTTTATAAACTGAAGCTGATACTGTATCTATTTTACAGATGAGGTAACTGCATTTTAGAGAAATTAGCTAACATGTCCAAGGTTGTCAGGCAGAAAGTGTAGGTGGTAGGCTAACGCAGAGTATCATCCTCGGCTGCCACAAATGTATTAAATAAAACCTTGACCATTATTTCAGGATGCCATCAAAATATCATGAGCCACAATGTGGAAAACGTTGGAAAGAAAGGCACTAAAGAGCCCTAGCTCCCAAAAGACTAAATAATAGTATCTATTATACGTATAATCAAATTGCTTAATGGTTTACTTAATCTAAGTTAATGTTCAATTAATCCTAACCGTAAAGATATTTCTAACATGGTTTCCTAACTCATTAGTAGAAATACAACTCTAAATTAATATTGTTAGAATTATAAAAATAATATGCACCTAATACTCTTACAACAAAGGCAGAGTAAATACACTTACAGAGGATTTAATGTCCTTTGCACGGTTAGCATACTTGAGAGTGTTATATGTGTCATCGTAGCTCATAGAGGAAGGACTAATAGCAGCTATCATTATAGTTTGACAGTTGCCTCCAAGAGAATCCTTTAACAAGCGAGTGAGCTTACTATTTCTGTAAGGAATATGCTGATTTTTTCTCTGGAAAAAAACAAAAAAAGAATTCTTATGTCATTTTCCACATTTAAATGCAAACCTGCTACCACTTTGCTTTAAGAATTCAAGTGTTGCCCAACTTTGCCCAGACTTATGATATAAATGTGGATCTAAGTGGTAATAAGTCTTACAGTACTATTTAGTGAATATATAAAACAATTCCATTTAAAGATTATACTCTAACTGAAATAGAAACTTTAGATAATAATAAAATATCAGTATTGGTTCATTAGTTGTAATAAGTGGACCAAGATAATGTGAGATATTAACAGGGCAAACTGAGTGGGGATATATTAAACAAGATTTTTCTGTACATATTAGCAGCTTTCCTGTACCTAAAACTATTAAAAAACAAAATGTCTATTTAGAAGGTCTCCCTTCATTTTTTAAAAAAGAAATTAAAATACAAATTAGTAATACATGTCTTAAAATATACTTAGAGGAATACTAAGAATTCTGCATGGCATAGAGCTGCTTCCCTCTAACCATCTAAAATGGACACATGAAAAAATTATAATTACAATTTTACAGATACTTCAGCTGAAAGCACAACACAGTTCTAAGAGCGCTTAATTTTTCTACGTTTTCTTTTACTTAAAAGATAATAGTTCGGACTTGAACAAATTTTCCAAGATGTACACTGCTATATAAAAAACAGAGCATTAAAACATTAAGATAAAAGCAAGGTTATATTATCCAATTTAAATCTTTCATATTACAGAAGAGGAAAATTGAGCTAAGTAAAAACTGAAATGACTTGCCTCAGGTCACACAGTTGGTAATTCAGAGTTAGAAATGAGCCCTAGGTCTCCCAACTCCCAGTAGTACTATGCTTTCTATCACAGCAGCCTGTCCCACACTGTGGAAAGTATACTGCTGGTACTTGAAATGATTTTACATGTACAAGACATGCGTTAAACACTGACTCATAAATGCCTCTATTGAAGAGAATTACTAAAAATTAAATTGGTATAAAAATGCTATAAATACCTTAAGTTTAGAAAATCAGTCTATACCATGCTGTCTGCTTACATGTTTGAAATTTTAACTTAGAATATAAATCATCTTGCTTTTGTAATCTTCCTGTGATTTCAGTAATTCGTCTATTTTAAAAAAGGACCTCATATAATTTTATAATACCTTATACTAAACCAAATGCAATATTTTAAAAAGTTTAGCAGTAAATTTTTTAAGCTTTTAAGCCTGCTTTGAACTTAAATGACTGGGCTTTAATTTAAAAAAGTCACTTTTTTACAATACAGAAATTGTCAAATATGCTGTCTTCTAGTAAGAACTTCTGGCATACAGTAGATGTAAAATAGTATTTTAAATGCCCCACAGGCATCTAGTAAACATTATCCTATTAGGTAATTTAATTACATTTTGCATCTTAAATCTCACTTCCTCTCTAAGAAAAGTCAACAATCTTTAATATTAAACCCAATTTTACAGTATATAAACTACTAACCAGAACAGATTTAGTTTTTCCAAAATGTCTTTTGTGTCTTCATGCCAATTCAATTGTTATGCTTGTTATGTACTGATCATTTAATGCTAATTTTAAAAATCAAGTTCAAAATAAGTAATGAGAAAGTACCATAAAATACTAATTACTAATCTGATATTCAATACTTTTCACTCAACAAATTCTGGTCATAAAACTAGAAATTAAAAAAAATATAGAACCATAGCTTTATTTGATATACTAGCCTCTCTGAGATCTTCTCTCTGTTTATAAAAATTATTAATATACTCTTCAAATTTAATAATAGACCCTTACAATGAAATCACATTAAATAGTATCTTTCTAGAAATTATACATCCTTCAATAGTTCAAAATATTTAAACAAACATACGGTATCTACCTTTGTGTCTGCTAAGGCATTGATGACATTCCCAAGAGCGAGAAGTGATCGATTAATATTTGTGCCTTCTATAAACCGGGTCCCTTTAGCACTGGTAGTACTGGCTCTCTCAGACCCTGCCAGGTCAATGAGTGACATCTTGGCAATTCGGACATTTTGATCAATACTTGCTGTTTTGTCTTGCTGTCGCAAATAAATCTTTTTGAAATTATAGAAGAGGAAAAATGAGAAGATTTAATGAAATTAAAAGGGAAACATATATTTTATTTTTTAAAAAAGCATGAAATCAAGATTATTCTCATTTTAAAAACAAACCAAACAAGGTATAATCTGACTTGGCTGATATCCAAGAGTACCAGAAGTAATTACCAGAGTTGAGAAGAACTGGAAAATAAAATGTGTACCAGAAGGCAAATAAGTCCTGGCTGAACTGAAGGTCCAAATAACTACCATTTGTATTCTTGTAACCCTTGAATCAGAGCATGGAATTATCAGAGGTAGAGGTCATTTAGAAATAATGTTTTTAAGACAAAACCAAAGGCAGTGGTCAGAATGCTTTGCATTATCTGTAGAGACTGTACCCAAAGGAAAGCTAAATTTGAATGTTGACCCAAATCAAAGAGTAAATAAATTGTTGAGCATAATTATAATAAAAAAATGAAACATATAAAAAGTGGTATAATAAAGAAAACTGGTCATGTTCATTTGCCCATTAGAATAAAGCATAACTTATTCAGCTACATTAAGCTACTTTGTCATTTAACTAAAATAAATCTGGTGCAAACTTAAAAGAGATGGGGAAAGTTAGCTATTACTCCATTACAAAATCTCTGCTAAATTTTCTTACAAAACTGGGTCTAAGAGATTTTTGAAAACTCTGTATCACAGAGACACATTTCTCTCAAGACTGATAATGGAAGAGTCAGTCATAAGAATACAAAAGATTAATACAACTATGTGGGCTGAAGGCTTTCTTAATGACTTGATTGCCTCAAATATTAATTCCTTCAACTATAACAATTTCTATAAAATGAGTGCTACATAGCATAATCCAGAGTAAAGCTACATAAGCATTTGGTTTTAATAGAACTAAAAACTGTAAAAGATAGTATCTAACCTATGCTTTAACTCTTTTTAGAATTGTATTCCTAAAAAGTACTGCATCAACTGAATCTCACATCCTTAAGGAATGCACCTACTTTACACTGTCACTATGGTGAAATTTTTATGTTTTTTTTTTATGTTGTTATTTTTATTGTTGACACTATTACAGATGTGAATTGGTATCTCTTCAATTCACTGGTTCTGTAACTCTAGATCTATAAAGAGAAAGTTTGCTCTGAATATAAGATTATGTTTTGGAAATATTAAATATTTTCACTAACTTAAAGAAAGAAAACACATACACCCACAAAAACCCATCCTTCAACACTTCCATTTTTTTTAATCCTCTATCTTTAAACAGGTAAAAATTTACATTTCTTATTTACATCATTTCAATTCTAAATATTTTTGATAGAATCTTCTCAAAGCTGCAAAGTAAAGGGAGAGCTGGGAAGTAAAGTAGTTCACAGATAAAGAAATTTTTTTGTGTGTGAGAAACATACCATGCATAAATTTGGCTTCATTTATTTTAAATTCAACTTTAAGAGAGAGAGTCTAGAGGCCTGTTACCTGGAAAACGGCATGAGAACGAGAAGATGTAGCATTCATATCAGTAGGATGTTGTGTCCTGTTTTTGTTCCCATTATCCAATAACTGTAAAATTTCCTCTGAGGACTTGGGCTAGAGAAACATTTAAAAAATATGTAAAAATTAGCCACCTGTCTTTAAACTTTTAAATAAACTTTCAACAGGCAAGAAGACTTTTAAAGGTAAAATAAAAGGTAAGAAAATGCTTTCTATAATTTAAATCCCATTAAATATAGGCTGTGTATCATTTGTTTAGTACTTCTGTATTACATGAGGAATAAAAGATAAAATCTTATCATCTGAGGGGACGAAATATAAATGTATTAAGCAGAATAATACATGATATTAAATGTTCAAGTGTAATTTTAAAAGACAAGCTCATTTAATTATTTCAAGGAAAACAAAATAAGGTGAAAGACTGATTATTTTAACTTTGTACTTCATTATTTTTCTTATTTCTCAAGCACAATGAAAAATAAATAAATGGCTAAACAATCACACTTGCTATTTAAACAAGGGGAAAAGTTTATAATCGTACCTGATGTAAAGTCAATCCCTGAACAACCACCCCCTTTTGGGCATCTTCCCGGACAGCAAGTGGCCCTGAATTGACTAAGAGGTCACGAATCTGTTCATTATATACCTTAAAATTAAAAAAAAAAAAAAAAAGACAAAAAGAAAATACTGCTTTAGCACTGATATTAAAGCAATAGTGATAATATGACATACAGGTATACACTGGTGATTTAAGTTGATATTAGAATTTTATCTTACTGACAAATAGCAGTTAATTTAGTTCATCTCTTCCTTCTATCTCATGTTGCCATTACCTGATTTTCTACCATCTGAGAAAACAGGAGTTTAATTACCTAGGTTTGAAATTGAAATTTAAAGATGGACTCATTATAGCCTCACCCCATTATTCCTAACTTGATGATTTCAGTGAAACAGAAACAAGATAGCTGGAATTGCCATTTTTTATTTCCTGGAAATATACAGGACACACTTTCTTGGGAAATTCTAGTGGATCTGAAACATAAGTTATGTGGAGGTGGCATGGTTCTCACTGGAGAAGATAGTTTTTATTTTATAATGCCCAAGTAGTCCAAACTTCTTGAATTTTACAGTTCAAAAGTTAAGAAAAATCATACTCAAGAATGGATGGTTATTTATTTCATTTATCCTTCAATTACATTTTTTTTTACATGTAATTCTTAATGACAAATTCCATAATGATGAAGGAACTAATAGGTCCCAAGAGGTTAAGTAATTTGTCCATGGTCATGAAGGTAACAGCAGAGCAAGACCTGGAAGCCAAATGTCCTAACTCTGCTGCATGGAATTAAATACACATCTATATTTTATGTCTCTGGCAATTTTTTTTAAAAAGCAATTCCTGTAAGTAATGCAGAGGAATAGTACTATTGCCTTAATTTTATGAATTTACTAAAGGTATGAAGTTTTCTGCTTGTTAACCAAATGACTAGAGCTGGTATTTCCACATTCTAATTCATAGCCCATAGTGATAATTCATTGCTAGCAAAATATTTTACAACAAATGATAATCATTGTGTTGGGGGGAGGTCCAGGTATGTCTATTTTTAAAAACTCCTAGCCAATTCTGGTACATAACCCAAGTAGAGAACCATTAGATTGGACATTGCCATAACAGTGATAAAATAAAGGTAGACTAAAAGAAAAATAATTAAAAACATTATAAAAATAACCAAACTTCAAAATTCTAAAAGCTATGAAGGGATGTAAGGAAGGAATAATGAATAATATGGCCATGCTTTTTTCCCTAAATATGTTCAGAACAATTATTTTCAATAATTTACTATAGAAAATGAGTTTAGTTCTTTTATCTTCAAGTTCTATAGACTTAAGAAGAAAAATTTTTAGCAACATACATAATCTTAATGGATTTTTGAAATGTCAAGAAACTCTCTCAGTAGGAACCTAACTACAAGATATCAATAAAAGAGCTGTGACTAGTAGAATTTTTTCTGACACCACAAATGAATAGGCAGTAAAATCAGAGATTTATGTTTCTGCACTGGTTTCTGAAACACTATCTGATTGCAAAGTTAGAATGCCTGCCACTTAGTTATGATTTGTTGAATGTCAGCTATTATTAAGAGGGTAGGAGGCCTCCAAGAAAGATGGGGTGTGTCAAAAGGGCCCAAGAGACAGCATGAAAGAGTCTCAAGTCTGGCACAATTTCAACATACAAACAAATAGTTACACTGAAAGGGATTATAATCTATTGAGTAATGTTAAGAATCCATGAATCCACGCTGATACAATAAAGGAAAGAGAAGGTCTTCCTTATAGTAGACAGCCAATGAATAAATGTAGAAGAAATTACGGAATTTAAAAACCATTATCATCTACCACCACAGTAATTGATTCTAGCATGAATCATCAGTGGATGATAATACCAACAGATGAAAGTTTGACTAAGAGGATATTTATATTTTCTCCTTACAGGGTATTTATTAATTATAAAAGGTATCGTAGTATCTTGACAGTGAAGAAACTTTGCAGACACCAGCATAATGAAACTGATCAAAGTGAACATAGCCAGTAACAGGACCACTAACCACAAAGTCACTTCTGTATTATTTCTGCCAGCCCACATCTAATTGTGACGAACCCAAACTAAGGGTGTCTTCACAATGACATACAGGAAAATAAATCCAGATTAAAGAGACTGAACAGATATGACTACTGAATGCAACTAAGGATCTTAGATTTTTGTTTTCAATAAAGGGTATTACTATAATCACTAGCAAACCCTCATTAAGGTCTATTGATTAGATAATAGTGTATCATTGTTAATTTCCTGATTTTTGATAATTATTCAGTGGTTATTTAAGAAAATTTCCTACTGTTATAAGTCTGTAACTTAAGCAGTTTAAAAAAAAAATACAAACACATACAGAGAGAAAGCAAAGGTAGTAAATTGTTAACATATGGTGAATCTGGGTGAAGGGTATCTGGATGTTCGTTGTGCCAATCTTGCTAGTTTTCTGTATGTCAGAAATTATGCAAAATAAAATACTGAACAGAAAAACAAATAAGATGCATCACAGGTACTTAAGACCAAAAATTTTAATGATATTATATATTTATGAAAAAATTCCTGTATGATAAAAATTATGAATGGACCATGGAACTTAAAGATTTCTCAATACTACTGATTAATCTAAAGAATGACATAGCCAACTTACCTCCAGATAAGAAACTGCAGTGCTACATACTTTCTCTTCTTTAATCTCATCCATGGATTTGTAAAGTTCTAATAAGGTTAGATACATCACTCCAGGTTCGGTAGCTGATCCTAGCATCGTGTGGGTCTTCCCAGCTCCAGTGGCACCATATGCAAGTACTGGGTTTTTATGAAAAGGGATCAAAGCTCTTTGTTATGACATAAACCCCTACTACAGCTACTGTCTAGTGGGTAGTTCCACTGGATATGCCGAACAGTAACTTTAAACCCAACAGACCCAAAATTAATTTATAGCATTATCTTTAAAACCTGCTAACGTTAGCATAAGCCTCCTCTAACTCTTATATTCTCTATTCTGATGAATGGAAGCATCATTCTCCCATCTGATCCTGCCCCCCAACACCTGCTCCCATTCTTCTACGGCAACCTTACAAATCGCAATCAACTATCAGTCTCTCTATTAGTTTCAGTCTTCTTTAATCCAACCTCTAGAATCTGTTGTTACTTTTATGAAAAATAAAATCTGAATATGTTAACCTTTTTAATAGTTCCACAGTCCTAAATGAGAAAGCTCAAATTCCTTGCCTTGGAATATTATTAGGCATTCTAAGAGAGGGTGTCTGGTTATCTCTCTAGCCTATTTCTTCCGTGCTGTGGTGTAGGTACACCAGATTATTTGAAGTTCTCTGCATGTGCTGTTCCCTTTCTATTCCACTGCCTTTGTCCTGGAAAGTCTCTCCATTTATTCCAACTAGAAAACTTGCAACTGTTCTAAATATTCAACACAGATGTTACTTTCCCGTGCCTTCCCTGACAGTCTTAGGCAGAAACACATACTCCCTCAGTTGAGCCCTCACCATATGCCACACAACCTTCTATTCTAGCACATATCACACTGTATTTCCAACTGTGACCTCCACAAAGACGAGGTCGTGCATCCTATGCACCTAGTAAATCACAAAGCAGGTACTCAATACAAGTGTGTTGGGTGAGTGAATTCTAGAGAGAAGACATTTATAAAATTCCTTTTAAATTTAAAGCAAACAAAAATGTTGTTTTAGGCAAATTACTCTGTTTTTCAGATTCCATCCAGTAACACATAAAAGTAATGTGTGTTTTTTCAAATGCAAAAAAAAAAAAAAAAAAAAAAAAAAGGCCACATATGGCAAATACCCATCACAATAGCCAGTTAAGGCAGTAATTCCTCATTTTACTGGTGGTGAGAACGTTAACAAACTTCACAAACACTTTTCAGTAGAATGAATTAAACTGATGTATGTTTCACTTTGTTCTATTTTATGTAAGCCCATAGTATATTAAGAAGTCTTAAGACAACTGGATAAGAATATAAAGTAAGTCCAAAAGCAACCAAAGATTCAGTACTACTTTGGTAGATTTTTTTCATTTCAATTTTTCAAAAAAATTAAAAAAATCTCTAGAGACATTAAGGAGGTTCATCAATGAGGAAAATAATATATGCTTAAAAAATAGAAACATAGCAGTTATAATCAATAAACCACACTTCATTCTTATTTGACCAAGAGGGTAAATCTTTTTTAGTAAAACTGAATGAGTCAGTGAAAACCAATGAAACATATTACAGGTTTGAGCTGTCTTTAAAAAAATTGTCATAAATTGCGGTAATTCCAAAAATAGTATGTGTATTAATAATTGTGTTAAGTGCCTTATAAGCACTGGGATAACTGGCCTTTTGGATATATCTCTTTCTAGGAAATCAACATGGCCATTTTGAAAGGCAAATTACTATAGGTCTATTTAGAGCACTAGACATGCTTTTTGGGCTGAAGATATGCTAAAAGAGTACTTGATATCCAATTAATGAGGGCTTTTAACATTTTTATTTCAAGATATTGTGAAGTGATTTCACTCATATGTGGAATCTAAGGAACAAACTGAACTAACAAGCAAATACAGACAGACTCATAGATGGAGAGCAGACTGACAGTTCTTGGGGTGAAGGTTGAGGAGTGGAGGGTTTAAGCAAAAAAAGCAAAGAACTTATGGACAAGACAGCAGTGTGGTGACTGCAGAGGGGAGATGAGTGGGTGGAGATAGAAGAGGGTATGGGGGTAAAAAGCAATAGGAAAAATACAATAAAAATAAAAAAAATTATTAAATATTCCCCCCTGCCAAAAAAAAAAAAAAAAAAAGATATTGTAAAGAAAAATGGTGGTATAAAGAAAATGCCAAGTGTTCAAAACTGTTTGACTATTCCACAGGGGTAGAGAGTTGTATGGGTAAATACTGGAACTACTTATAAATACAGCTTGTGAGAAATCTGGCATCAGTTACAAGAAACATGTGGTTTAACGAAAAGAAATTGAAAGGATGATTATCGATAGGGACTACAGCAAGACCATTAAAGACAAAGTTTCACAAATGATATGTTATACATGATGACCGAATTTTGAATAAAGTTTACATTTATGGTGAAGTCTACAGAACTTAAGAATTTTTAGCAAACGTGTAACTTAAAATTGATTATATCAAGAAGAAAAGGCCAAGTAGAAGTCCTTTTTAATATAAAATTAAAATCGAACAGGAAAATTAAACCCCAGCTGAAATAATTACCTGTGCAGTTATATCCATTTAAAAAACTCCGAAGAATTGGCTTAGTAGTATGTTCAAAAACTTCCAGTTGTGTTGAAGTTTCATCAAAAACAGCATCAAACACAAATTTAAGATCCTTATTTGGTCTCTTTGTAATATCTCGATTTGCAGTTTTCCTTCCATGGAAAAAACCAATTTCTTGTTGTTTGGGATCAAAAACTAGAATATGCTGATCCACAACATGGGCTACTTTATGAAATCCAGCTGCCTTTTCCTTTGTGTTTTCAGGACGCACGCGGACAACTACTTTCATGTGGTGACACAGGTCATCCTCAGTGACAGACATTGTTGATTATCTTGATTCCTTTGTTTATATGAATGCCTAAATAATTCTCTAAAATTAAAAAGAAAAAAAGTATTAATATTAGTTCTACATGTATGTAAAATGACTGGTATGTAGCATTCATTTAAAAAAGGTGTTAATTTTGTTCCACTAACCCGGTAAATGTTTCTGGAAATGCATATACAGTTGACTGTTAAACAACATGGGTTTGTCCTGTGTGGGTCCACTTTCATGCAGGTTTTTAAAACTAAATACCGTAAATGGATTTTCTCTTATGATTTTCTTAACATTTTTTCTTTATCTTCATGGTAAGAATATAGCATATGATACATACAAAGTATGTCAATTGACTGTTTATGTTATTGGTAAGGCTTCCAGTCAACAGCAGACTATTAGTAAAGTTCTGGAGTCAGAAGTTATGTATGCAAAGTAAGCCACAGAAAAAGTCAAGAACCATATGATTTCACTCATTCGTGAGATAAAAGACTGAAAGAAACAAATGAACAAACAAGAAAAACAAACAAAAACTCACAGACACAGACAACAGTATGGTGGTTACTAAAGGCGAAGGCGAAGGGGTGGAGGGTAATATAGGGTAAAGGGGGTTAAATATACAGTTGCAGAAGATCTGACTTTGGGTGGCCGGCACACAATACTATATATATATATAGATGATGTACCATAGAATTGTACCCTTGAAACCTATATAATCTTATTAAACAATGTTGCCCCAATAAATTTAAAAAGAAAAAAGTTATACGCAAATTTGAATGGCATGTGTAGGTGGGAGAGTGTCCCAGCCTCTACTTTGTTCAAAGATCAATTGTATGTCTGTGTGTGCGCGCGCGCGCGCAAGTACACGTTTGTTTACTTGTTTATTTTACTCCTTGGTTCAAAATCTTCCAGTGGTTCTTCATCTTATTCAGAGTACAAGTTCAAGTTCTTTAAAGGCCTACGTTTTTCACCTCATGTTTTATTGCTTTCCCCTTTGCTCACATCATTCCAGTTAACACACCAGGCACCCCAAGTAGGGTGTTTCCATTCACCATTTTCTCCACTGCCAAGTGCACAACTAATTCCTTCACTCTTATTCTTGCTCTCATTAAAATTACAACCCAATTCTTAATCACCCTTATACTCCTGTTTTTTCCAAAGTACTTACCATCTCCTGATAGAATGTGTTTATTTTTTTTTACTTATATGTTTGTTATTTTTTTTCTCTCTTCCAGTTAAACTAGACGCTCGTCAATGGTGTGTATTTTTATACCTGTTTTGCTTATTATGTGTTCCAAGAGCCTAACACTCCCTGTCATAGGGTAGACATGCTATAAATATTTGATGAATAAATTAATGAACACTAAAAGGTTTCTTTTTAATTGTTTTTCTTGGTCTTAACTTTTAGATTTTACATTATTTTCTGGATTGTGGAGGCTCCCACATTATTGGTCTGTAGTTTACCTTTACTCTTTTTGTTATTGTGAGGCAGTCATGTATTCAGGCCATATTTTTAAAGCCTACAATTATTGCCCTGGCTGGTGTAGCTCAGTGGATTGAGAGCCAGCCTGAGAACCAAAAGATTGCTGGTTCGATTCCCAGTTGGGATACATGCCTGGGTTGCAGGCCAGGTCCCCAGGTGGGGGTGTGAGAGAGGCAACCAATTAATGTTTCTCTCACACATTGATGTTTCTCTCCCTCTCTTCCCCTCTCTCTAAAAATAAATAAAATATATTACCCCTCCTGCAATTATTGATGTACCCTAAACTTGCATCATTATAGAGTAGTGACTAGGATCTATATTCAGAGACTAAAGTCTCTGAATAAACGGTGGGTATATACCGCCTCCATTACCTTTCATCTGGGCTAACTGATATACCCTTGAAATTATTTTTAACCCAATGGGTCTCTGAGATACAGGTAGAGACGAGCCTAGTTTATCAACTTCCACTGCCCAGAAGCTTCCATCTAAGATCACTTTTATTAAAAATAGTTCAAAAGGCAAGGCTCTCCCTTCATTACCTTGATATGATTCTGAGATTCTTTCCTGTTCATTCCCATGACCCAAACTAAAATAGTGCTAGAGCCCTTGTTAAAAAACAAAACAAAACAAAATCAAAGCTAGAATTTCTGGGTAGCCTACCTGTCATTGTATATGGAAGGCCAGAGTCTGACTAGTATTTCAGGTAAAGAGATTTATCACGATTTTGTACATGCTATTTAATTTTTTGTACTGTGACATAATCTGATCACTCTCACGGCTCTGTAGACAACATATTCCAGGTAATAGAGATTACTTAGGTCACTGACTAAATATGGTGTTGTCCACTCAGAACAGGGTGGTGCTCAGATTCTGGGTGTATTCTAAAGGTCAAGCCATTAGAATTATCTGATAAATGAGGGGTATGAGAGGAAGATAGGATTTAAGAATTACTCCAAAGTTCTTTGGCTGAGTGTCAGCCATTAACTGAGGTAATAAAAAGAGGTTAGAGCAGGGGTTTTTGTGGGGTGGAAGGAAAGGAAGACCAGGAGTTCAGTTTTGGATACCTTAAATTTGAAAATTTTAACAGGCATCCCGGTGGAAATGTTGACACAGTTGGAAGCCAAGTTAAGGAAGTAAAGACTGTCCTTAGAATGTAATGCCATTTAAAGCTTTTAAAAGTTTTTAAAGCTTAAAATGGCACTAAGATTTTGGGGGAAACTTTTAAATCAAAGAGGAAGGAATGATCAATCGTGTTAAATACTGCTAATATGTTCAATACTTAATAAGAAGTAACGATGGGGTTTAGTGAAACAGAGGCTAATATGAAGAGCAATCTGGGGGTAATGGTGGGACAAAAGCCGGAAGAGGATAAGATTCAGAATGAATAAAGAAACTACTACTGCAAAAGCGAGTGAAGAAATGGTGTGGGTAGAGGGGGAAGAAGTTTTAAAAAAAGAAATCTCATTTGTTTTTTTAAAATAGGAAAAATAACAGCAATGCTAAAGCTAAAATATGTCACAAAACCATACACTTTTGGAACGAATTCAAGTAAGACCAAAAGCAATCTAAAAGCAGAATACAGTGGACACAGCACTCCCTTTTTAGGACTCTGTCCTTCCCCAAAAATAGAACGCTGGAGAAGAAAGATGGTCATTTGGATTCTAACAGTCAGGTCCCAAGTGAATTACTATTCTGCTTTTTCTTCATCCTTGAGCGTCTGTCTAGCCAGTTCCCACAAAGCACCTTTAGCTCACTCCTATGACCTTGGTCAGTTACTTAACCTCACTGTGTCTCAGGTTTCTCATTTGTATAAAAGAGATAATACCTCATAGTACTCTCGTAAAGGCCAAAGGATGTAACAGGTATTAAATGTATTTATGGCATTCAGTCAATGTCAATTCTCTTCATTATCTGCCCCCACTCCTGCTTCTTGCTCCCAAAGACACTGGTCCGTCTTTTTAGTGTTCCCCAATAGGCTTATGACTGGCTCTTCGGGTAAGACAATTCTTCCCTGTTTGGGACTGTCCCATGTATTAGGGGATGTTTAGCACTTCTGACCCCTGTCTATTAAAAGCTATAGAATCCCACGTTTCTTGTGCTATCAAAAACTACCCCCCATATATGTTTCTAAATCTTTTAGAAGTGTTCAAAAATTCTTTAATTGATAGTTTTTAAAAAATGACAGAAAAGTGTACACAATCAAAATGGTTAAACACAATATATAAATTATTAGGTTTTTATTTCAAAATAGATCTTAGAGCCTCAAGGTTGGAAAGTGTATCTTGCAAATTAATCAATCAACCAATCAATTCATTCTTAATTATTAGATGTTTGAGCCAGACAGCCTAGGTTAAAATGCCAGCTCTTACTTACTGGCTGTTAACAGTGGGCAAGTTACTTAACTTCCCTGTGGCTCACTTTCCTCATCTGTAAAGTAGGACTAATAATAATACCTACTTCATAAAGATGTTGTGAGGATTAAGCACTTAGAACAATACCTAACATAGAGTATGCCCTACAAATATTTGCTATTAATATTTTTATAATATACAGTGCAGTGAGGGAACAAAAGAGTGACTAATGTTATAAGGTAAAGGTGAACAGTGCTATTATGTAAGACTATAATAAGGGATTAATACAGTTAGAAAGGTTCCTAGAGAAAGTGGTAAGTTGAGGGCTGAAGGGTAGAGAATTGTTAACACGGAAAAAAAAAGTTTTCAGGAAGAAAAAATTAATTTTGCATTCAGTAAACATTTACTGAGTGCCTTCTATGTGCTAGGTATTACTCTGGGCCGTAGGGTTGAGAGGGTCAGGTGTGTATGTGTGGGTTCCTATTTTGAATAGAGCGGTTGAAAAAAGCTTATCTCGTGGGGTGACTTTACAGAGACTGAAAGGAGCGAGCAAGTTAAGTAGCTATGACAAATACATATGAGGAGGCAAGTTCAAGGGCCTGCAGTGGAAAACACCTTGTGCAGTGGACATTAACTGGTTGGATGGTCGATTTGCTTAAAGCTTGTTTCTTTTAGTTTAGTTTTAGGTGATTATAACTTTATCTACAGCATCTAAAGAAATGCTCAGTTTAGCTTTGCTCAGTCCTGATGCAACAAAAGGGAGAAGATTGCAATCAAAGATAAAATTGGGTAAGAGTGGGGCCAGATTTAGACACTCTCGAGTGCAAGGTTATAGTTTAGATTTGATTTAGAAGTTAATTAGGAATTACTGGAGGTATTTTAGAAGGCAAGAATCTTATTGAAGTAACATTTCAAGGAGAAATTTTGACAATTACCTAAAAGATAGTTTAAGAAGTATAATGTCAAATACAACTTTATTTTACAACTTGTTATAGATTGTATGAAAGACATCGATCTTAATTTTTAAAGCATCACATTTTTACTTTTTCTCAAAAACAGTTAATATAATTTTCTTAACAAAAATACTTAAGGTCAACAAAAACACCAAAATATAAAAATTTCTATATTCAAATATATTGATGTCTTCATGGATTGATAAGGTTGTTCTTATACTAATACCTCCTTTCTTTTCTAACATAGTTAAGTAAATGAGATGGACCTTTCATTGATTCTGAATAAGGCATACAGAAAGCATATTCCTTAACCATGTTTACCAAGAATGGCAAAAGAGAAGCCTAAATATTGTTATCTGTGCAATAGTATGTTGATTCAAAATTATTTTTCAGATGACAGTTCAATTTTGTCATACCTATTGCTATGTAGTATTTATTGAATAGAATCAAAGAGCAAGCTGGTAAGTTTTCGTTGTTGGTACTAAAACATCAAGAATAACACCTCTAACACCCACGTTCATATAGAAGAAAGGTATTTGTTTAACCTAGAGAGAGTAGAGTATAAAAGAGTAATGAAGGAGCTAACGAAGGCTGCTGTCAATCAATATAATGATAAGGTTGGATTATGTGTATCTAAGGTCCTTTTCTAGCTCTAAAATTTTACAGTTATTGCATGTGATTAAAAAAGAGTATAAGAAAGTGACAAGAAATAGCGGTTAATGAAGCTGTATATATATTTTTTGCTTTTATATCCCTAACTTCTTGTTGTGAACCTGGTGTATAGTGAGTTCTGAAATATTTGATTAATGAATAAATAATTTAATTATAAAAGTAGACACAATCTAAGAAAGCAATGTACACATTTGGAATACAGACATACAGAATGTTTCTCTAACAGAACCACATATTACAGTAGGGCATAATGATTGGCAATAACAGGCAATTACAATGAGGACCCTGAGGCATTAAAAAATGTTTTAAAAAATGTGCCCAATTACTTTTCGTACAAAATCAGGAAAATGAGATAATGTTTTATGCTAATTGTTGAGGGTGTGTAATTATCACTTAACAAGGATAACATTCAATTTTCTGGAAGTTTCACTTACATTGAATAGCTCATTTGCTCTGCTATGTTTAATGAAGAGGTGTTAAAACGTAATTCTCTTCAATAATTGTAAGACAATATAAATTGAGTTAAACATGCAAATCCTTAAGATTATCTAGTTAGTGTTCACCCTAGATAAAATATAAGCCAATTAAGTTAAAGATTCAGCCCCAATTAAACACAGCTACAATAATAAACTTTATTTAATTCATTGGCTGTATGTACTGATACCTTCTCCAAAGGCAATCCTATTATGTTATATATCTTATGTCATTCTCCCTGCTCTAAACTCTTCAGTGACTTCCCAACATAAGAATAAAATGCAAACTCTTTAGCATGTCCTGTATGTTCTACATCTGGCTCCTGTCCACTTCTCCGCTTCTCCAAATGTTACATTCCTCCATTATTCAGCTTCAGTCACACTGTCGTTCTTCATGTTCCTAAAAAAACTTCAATCTTGTCCTGACCTCAAAGCCTTTACACTTTCTCTTCTCCCTGCCTGGAACCCTTTACCTACAGATACTTGCAAATCTCAACCCCTCAGTTCATCATTCAGATCTCTCTTCAAATGTCACTTAACAGAAGCTTTTCCCTAAAGATCCCATTCAAAACAGTATCACTCTGCCCTTGCCTCTCCAATCCCTTACCTGCTTTATTTTTCTGCTTAGCTCTAGACTAATTGGAAAATTTATATATTTGGTTACATAGTTACTGCTTATTTCCCCTCTAGAATGTCAGCGCTGTGGAAGTATGGTCTTCATCTGTCCCCCAGAACCTAGAACAGGGTTTGTCAAATATTTAGGGTTCCATACATACTGGCTGAATAAATGAATACATAAACTAATGCAGATTTTCAAGATATACATTAAAAAAAAGTGCAGAATAGTGGACTTGGCAAGCAACGATTTGTATTTTCATTTTTTTATATTTGTATATGCAGGGGCCCTCTTAGGGAGGGAACACAGAAACTGATAATGCCAATTGTGCCACGGTGAGGAAATATGAAGGTCTGAGTGACAGGCAGGTTTACTTTCTACATTATATCCTTTTGTACTGTTTGAATTTTAAATAGTTTAGGTATTTTTAATTTCAAAAACAAAACAAAAAACTACTAAATTTATCTTAAACACAGCTCTTATTTAATAACTAAGTTATATTTATGAAATACTTTCTATTGAGTTCTTATTCTACCAACAGACGTGCTAAGCCATTTACACGCTTCCCATTTAATCCCCAAAACATTCCTATGCTATAGGTATATTATCATCATTTCTGTGTTATAGAGGAAGAAACTAGTACAGAGAGACCAAGTTAACTGGCTAAAGTCATACTATGAGAAGCACAAGACATGAGAGTTGAACTCAGACTAACTAAATCTAAAACTCAAGTAATTAGTCGCCATTCTTCCTGATATAAAAACATAATCCTCAGAAATTTTCTTATAGAAGTTAAAATACATATTTGCCTACTTTTGATAGAAACCTCAAGGCCTCATACAGGAGCTCTTCAATAAATGTTGAAATAAAACATGTTGAAATGTTGAAATTTATGATTTCTCTGTGCTTGTTGGATATCACAGTTTCTATTCTCACCAAATATACTATTAATTGAGATCCCTTGGATTAGGTCTATACAGGGACAATCAGTAATCAGAAACAGTAAGATTATCATTTGAAGACACTCTATCATGCATTATGGTAAATATTTGACATCCATCACCTCATTCAGTCCTTAAAATCATCATATAAGGTAGATTCTACCATTGTCTCTACAAAAATAGAGATCTAGCTTTAGAATACGTCATTTTGCCAAGATGACATAGCCAGTAAAACAAGAGTCAGAATGTGGATCCAGGTGCAAATCCAATGTCCATGTTCTTAACAACTATGGTCTACAGGAATTAGAAAAGAATGCTTTCAAACAATGAAACAGAAACGTTGCAAATGATCTTGAATGTGCAGTAATAAAGATACAGAAATTATTTCTTAAATACAAACTCAAACCTGAATTAGATTCATACTCAACAAACAGTTTTTAGGACTAGGAGCTATCCACACTATCATTTATTATCTCTAGGCAACTTAAACCTCTTTTTTGAAATAACTTCAGTGTTTGAACCACTGCTTCTACTAACTTACGAGCATCAGGGAACAAAAATTTCAAATGCAGGGAGGTGCAGCAGTGACATTTGGGTTATTTTTTCCTTCTTGTTTTTTATAAAGTTGACAGCACAAACGTCATTTTAGGTGAACCTTAATTGATTCAAGATATATTTATAGTGAGACAACAGGCACTTTTAAAAATGAAAATTTTATGTACTCTTAAATATTGCTCAGTTGCAGAAGATCAATTGCTACAGTTAAAGGCAGATAATCTTTGTGCTGAAATAGTACTTACAAAAAAAAAATGGAAACTTAATAACAAGCCCTATCTAGTCTTTGAATCTTATATTCTCTAGAACCGAAGCTCAAAATATACCAAAATTCAACGTGGTGGCATAACACTACCAACTAAAACCTGTAGAATGTCTAACACATTCTACCTGATTGGTAACGGTTAACCTAAACTATATATTACACAGCAGTTATTCAGTTCTGGTTAAATCTCTTCTCATAAACAGCAGTCAGCCTTGATCTGTCTGTAACTGAGTGCCTAGACTCTTGCAGAAACTAAGAAAAGACGCTAGAAGGACTGATTGTCAGTGCTTCATGTCCCTTGTAAAGCATACCTGATCTTCCATACCTCATCTGATCCTCCGCAATCCCCGTTACGCAGTGCTGCTGGCAGGTCTTATGTTGATGTTCAGGCCTCCGGGTAGGGTCCCGATTGACTTTTGCCAAGCTAACAGCAGAACCTCGCCGGACAAAAAGTTTATAAATTGGTAAACCAAGGTTCCTCACTTGATAGTTAAGCCCAGTTACAATTACACCTGTATATGAAACAAAACACTCTGATTTTGGGATCCGGAACTAACTTTACATTGTAAAGCGCTGGACAGAGGGCTCTGCTGAAGTCTGGGAAAGAGGCCAGGGTGGCCTTTAAAACTTCGACTTCCTCGGAATTTAAGGCAGGAGATCCATGCCCTCCTTGCTGAGCGATCGTGGACTTCGGATCAGACACAGCCATGCTCTAAGGTGTTCTCCACTTCCTTCTTCCTTTAGCTTTCACCCCAGGGACCCTAACCACCCCTACCGTCCCCCCACCAACCCCCGACTCAACGCTTCCATGTTTGTTAACAAGCTCACCTTGTCTTTTACGTTTAAGACGGCAGGACCCCTCCGCTTCCAGCGAAACAAGTCATCAAAAACAGGGTTCTGAGACCAGACTTTTCTCCAAGAGTACCTCTCCCCTCTCTTCAGGCCCAGGAAAGAACACCGTGACTCTTCATTTCGATGCCAGCCTCCCGGCGACTCAAACTCAGCCAAAAGATTCAAACCCAAGCCAGCTTCCTCAGCGCCTCGTTTCATTGGCTGCCGTCCTCGTGACGCCATTACGCCGGACGTTGCTGCGGCGCGCTGCAGGACGGCTCCGAAAGTCCCATCCGCGCGGCTCAGCGGAAGGCGCCCCGCTCCGCGTCTCCGGGGCAACGTGCACGGCTGTTTCCGGAGGCGGTGGCCGCGGAGGGCGGGGCTAGGCCGGAGCGGCAGTGGGGAGTCTGACACCTGGGATTATCGAGCAGCCTTCAAACCCGCGGGCTCGGGGCCGGTCCCAGGGTTCTGGGTGTGAGTGAGAAGAATGTGGGCAGGGGTTGGTGTGGGCCCTCTGCTAGAGGGAGAGGTGGAGCCCGTTGTGTGTGGATTAAGGGGTACTGGGTGTTTATTTTCTCCTTTTCTGCATTTACTAGGGAGGCCTCCGAAGGCACAGGTCCCAAGCTCTGGAAGGTACTAGGGGCCTGTTCCTTCCTGCCGCTTTCACTTGGACCGAACCGGATCAATAAGCCTGAGTTAATTGAAAGTCCAGGGCGTTTAGTTTGAGGTCCTAGGCTTCATCTCTCAGGACTCCCAGGCCTACTCCTTTTGGTGCTGACTGTGAAACTGATGTTTGGCTGCTTTTTACATTTTCTAATGATGGCATTACAAAATAAATTTATTTAAATATTTTGGTCTAGTTCATTATTGGATGCAGTATTTTTTTTAAGTACTAGGTTTTAGATATTTCAGAATGTACATTATAAAAAGAGAACAAATACCTGGAAAGTATGGGAAATATGTTTGCTCTGATAACTTTGTCAGGAAAATTTTAATAATATCTCAATTTCATTGTTGTTCTATATACAGGGTGCGGCAAAAGTAGGTTTACAGTTGTGACTACGTGAAACAATTTATTCTTGTATTTTTATTTATTAGTTATTGTATTATTTTCAATATGAACAACTGTAAAACTACTTTTGCTCCACCCTGTATTACCATTATTGCATCCATGCAACAATTATTGATTGTAGATTTTAGGGACATAATAGCACACGATTATGTCAATATCCCTGCCCTCTTGGAGCTTATATCCTGGTGATTCAGTATCATCTCATATATAGGATAGCACAACAACAGTGTAGAATATTATAAGCGAAACAATGTCTGGAAAACCCCCATAAGATGGACAATTTATTTCCTGTGGAAGAAAGTCAGAAGCACTGTTTATTGTGAATGATAAATGTTATATGATTCTTTCTAAACACAGGATAGAGCATCAATAAAGCAATTAATTACTGGCTGTAATCTGTATATTTTGGCAAGTACAAAAGTTTTTTCTGGGATGTTGGTTTAATAATAAAACTGAAAAGTCTTTATTTCAGATATGCACTCACTCTATAATACTTTACATTTGATGTCCCAGTCATTTTATTAACTTTACATATGCTATGTCATTTAATTAATAAAACAGCCCATGTAATGTGGGTGCGGTTTATTTTACTGAAGTGAAATTGAAGTTTTCAGAAAATTCGTAAAGGAAAATATTTTTCTTGAACTGTGCAAACCGACTAAGTCAGAATTGAGTAATTTGTCTCTGAAATACTTTCCAGATTAAGTTATATTAAGATGCTACCCTAATTCAGTCTGAAAAAAGGCATGTTTTACCAATTTCTTGTAAAATTGCATTGATCATTGGCAACTAAGAAAGCAGAAATCTTAAATTCATTGTTTTTGACACCCACATTGTATGAGGCTTAGTAGTCTAACAGGTGTTTCCACGCCTCATTTAAGTACTTATTTTACATTTAACTTTAATTTCTGCCTTACACTTGCCATTAAGCAGTGTTAGAGTTCTGTATTTTTAAGGAATGTATATTTAGTTAAAGCAGATAAATTTTAATGTTAAATCAATGCTATTACTGGGTGCCAGCTCTCTTTTGTTTGTCAAGACATTAGAGAATATAACAGGGTAAGAAACGGGTGTATTTTGTATCGAAATGAAGGAAAAAGAACTAAAACTTTAGACACAGTGCTAACGGGACAAAAATTACCACTTTTTAAAGAAAAGTTGTGTATAACTAACTTCTGTGTTATTTAGAATACGTAAATTTAACACAGGTTCATTGTAAACTGAATAGAGTGGAGATCAGGATAAAATGGAAAGTTAGATTTAAAGTTGTATCGGACATTTAAAAAAAAAAATTACCCTGGTAATGGTACGGTCTTATTTACCCCCCTCCCTCTTCCTCTCCCCGCGAAGGAACGGCATTTGGATGCCCCAGCGCCTGCAAGACCTTTTGGCAGCTGGGGGGCTGGAGGCAGCGGAACGAAAGGCAGGCGTTCCTCGGTTCCTGGGCCGGACGTAGACCCAATCTGTCCGTCCTTTCAAGTTTCCCCCAAGGCTGGGATCAAGGCGTGCGGCAAGTTCAGGTTCGCCGGCACCATAGTGGTCGTCGGTGGCCCGAGTTAGAGGTCAGCTGAGCAGTCTTCGTGCCTCAGGTGAGGAGAAGGTGGCCGAGTCCCGGGAGCTCTCTTGGAGCTCACCCCACGCCTTGGGGGGCAACTTCCAGAGGTCGCAGAATTCGCCCAGGACTAAGGAAACGCGCCCCTGCTCCCGCTTCTTGTGCTTCCCCCTCCGCCAACCCTTGCATCTTGAGTTCAGAAGTTGTTAAGCAGCTTTACCTTGTCAGAGTATAATTCTTAGGCCAAAGGATGTATTTTCCCCTTTCCTTTGGAAACTTTCACTGTATTTGCTTTGCGGTGCTAGCCTCCAGGTCAGGTTTTGGCCTTAGGAATTGATTTTTCATTTTTCTCTGCGGGGAAAGCTGACTGCAATGGTGGTGATTGGAAGTACCATTGAGAAAGTAGTTTTCAAAGGTGTCACTCTCCTTTGTCTTTCCACAATTAAAAGAGTAACCTGCCCAATTCCATGGTCTCAATAGTCTAAACTGAATTTTGCTGGCAGAGAAAAGTTAGATGACTTATTTAGGAAGCCACAAAGTTGACTCTAAAGATAGGCTTCCTGTCTCCCTCCGTTCTGTGACCAGAGTGAACATAAATTGACCTTGCATCACTAATGGTGGGTGGTTTTGAGTTGTCTGGTGGGAGATTGGGCTACAGAGGACAGGGAAGGAACTCCCTTTGGAGCTTGCCTCCTTGCAAGGTATTCAAGGAAACAACCAAACAGGAAAATTATCTTGGTTCTTATTTTCTGTTAACCCATGTTAATAGCCAATTGGTGCATAATAAAATCTTCATAAAACCATAATAAAACCTTGAACATAGTTGAGTAAACACATAGAAATCGAATACAAAAGGAATGAAATGCTGGTGAAGGCAGCTTTTTTTTTTCTATCAATTCTACTTACGTTTTCCCCATGTGGTTCTGATTCCTGTTTGGAATTGATTTTTCTTTTTTTGGCTTGTTTTTTTAAAATACTTATCAAAAGCTGGACAATTTAGATTGTTTAAATACTGCAGGTTACACTATTTAGATCTGTACATTGTATGTCTGCTTTCGGGTACCCCACAATACATTTTTTTTCCAAGTGGAGTAGGACTGAAGGACCAAAAAGTAGGATATTGGCTCAAAAAAAAAAAAAAAAAAGAATGTAATTCATGAGGTACTACAATACATAGTCAATGTAATTAAAATACCAATTACATAAGTGTATTAAATAGAGTCAGTGGGCTCTGTGTTTCTAGCATAGATGATAAAAATTGCAGGCTCTGGGATTAGAATGCTGGAGTTACAGTTCTAACTATGTGACCTTTTGGCACAGTGTTTGTTTTCCTCATCTTTAAATGGAAATAACAGTTCCTGTCTCAAAGAGTTGTAAGGATTGAATGAGTTTGTATATGTGGTATGCTTGGAATTGTAACTGGTACTGCCCTGGTTAATGTGGCTTGGTCGGAGAATTGTGCCATAACCAAAAGGTTTTGGGTTTGATTCCCAGTCAGAGCACATGCCTAGGTTGTGGATTCGATCCTAGTTCCCGGTGCATATGATCTCTGGTCCGGATGCATACAAGAGGTCAATGTTTCTCTTTCACATCTATGTAGCTCTCTCTCCTTTCTTCTCTCGAAGAACAAGGAAAAGACAGTCCTCGGGTGAGGATAAAAAAAACAAAAGAATTGTAAGTGGTACTTATGCTCAATGAATGTTAGCTTTTATTTTGAAAAATGTTAGAAATACTAAGTTGAAGGGTAGTTGAGTTTACTTTGTATGTGCTTTCTGGAAAACAAAGCATGATTATTCATTTGGCTAATTTGTAACTCCTGAGCATCAAATTTTAATTAGAACACACATTTTCTATCTACTTTTTTTTTTCCATATATTTCCTGGGCTACATTTGCAACATAATTCTGCTTATTATGTGTTTGGTAAAGTTGGCAAGTTATCCTCAAGGTAACAACTTGATATTATAATTGTATAATATTAAATATATAGAGATAGACATATTCGTGTTTCTTCTCTAGTTCTTACTGGTGATTAACTCTTTAACAACGTTATTCTTCATTTTCTATTGCCAAAATGACAGGAGGCATATTTAAGCAGGATTTATGTTTCTTGAGGTATTTTGAGAAAGTGGTTATTTGTAGAGTCAATCAGACAGGTGAAATTTACTAAAGCAAACTTTGATTAAAAAATGTTAATTTTGTAGAATTTGGAATTTATCCATCCATTTCTTTCCTTTTCAGAAAACATTTATTAAGCACCTAGTGCACATCTAGTTTTGTGGCTAACTGGTGTGGGTCTTACTCTTAAATCACTCATAATTCATGAGGAAGAAAGAGTAGTGTTAATTTGGCACTTAATGCAGTATGTTGTATCAAAAATGTTGATTACAACCAACTGGGTAAAAAGAATAATGTTTTCACAAGATTTTATATTGATGTATTTACATTCCTTCTGCATTTTGAAGAGTTACAGATTACAGAATAAAATGAAGCAGATATGAACAAGTGAAGGACGTATTGATTTTTTATTTCCTTGTTTTGCGGGGGGCAAGGGACAAACAAAACAAAGGCGGGTATGAAATGTCAAAGTGTGTTCTGCTGCGTGTTTATAAAGTACAGTTTAAATTGAAAAACTATGAAACTATGTCCTGAAATAGGCCGTGGTGAGATGGTCTCCTCAGAGAATATTCATGACAAGTTTGTTAAAATTTTCACCTTTAAGGGACACCGATCACCTCCCTTTCTTTTTGGATGTACATGTGTAGTCTTTTTCCAGGGACTCTTCCTTATAAATTGAAGATGAAGGCTAGGATTATGAGAAAAACAAGTAGAAGAACTTGAAATAGGAGACCACCTGAAACTAAAATAGTATAATATTTATAATCCCTTCAGCCATTCAGATACCATTTTTAAATAAACAGTTCTGATGCACTGAATTCATTCTTTAGACTCAATTAAAATTAAGTGTGTGTGTGTGTGTGTGTGTAGATAGTTGGCCAAAAAGTTTGTTTGGTTTTTTCCCATAAAATGGCTGTAGTAGTGCTTAGTTGTCTTCAACTTCATTTGAAACAATTTTGTTAGATTGTACTGTGACAGCTGTCATATCAGTATGTATTTAAAAAAATCTTTACCAAAACAGGATTTGTTGTAGCCATTTTAATATTGAAGCTGGAAGAAAATAAGTGACATATTCAGCATATTATGCTGTATTATTGCAAGAAGGGTAAAAACAGATGAAATGCAAGAAAAGATTTGTGCAGTATATAAAAAAGGGGTTGTGACTGATTGAATGTGTCAAAAGTGCTTTGTGAAGTCTGATGCTGGAGATTTTTTCACTGGACAATGCTCCATGGTCAGGTAGACCAGTTGAAATTGGTAGTGATCAAATCAATACATTAATTGAGAACAATCAACATTTTACCCTGTGGGAGATAGTTAACATACTCAAAATATCCAAATCAGTAATGTTATTGATGAAAATGAAAAATGTGTCTTTTATTTTACAGAAAAAACCATATAGACTTTTTGGCCAACCCAGCATTTCAGGAAAATGATGACTAAATAATCAATTTTCACATTTCTGATGGTTTAAAACATTCATGGTCTTAGAGCTAATTAGGCCACATTAAAAATTATATTTTCAGATACTTTCTTGGGTTGTTTTAGGTTCTTTGCTTTGCTTAAGGAGATTAGTCACCATCACTTGTTTGAGATGAGTCTTACATTTTTTTTTAGTTAAATATTATATATTTGCTTTTCCCTAGGTATTATAACATTCTTTTTTTTAAAATCCAACAATCATGATATTAAAAAAATTTTTTTTCTAGATTTGTTGACCTACAGAATGCTTCGGTACCCGTACTTTTATAGACCATATAAAGAATTTCTTTCTTGCTGTTTGGAAGCTGGCATAGTTAACTTAGGTGTCTGGCCAAAAAAAATACATGCTACAGCAGAAAGATATGATGAATATGAAGCTCAGGAGCAAGCAGACCAGACTGGAGCTCAGGAGTTTCACAGATCTCAAGATGGAGATTCTGAAGCTATGACTAAATTGCATATTCCAGTAATGGTGGACGAAGTTGTTCGTTGTTTGGCACCACAAAAAGGGCAGGTAAGTTGATTTATTAAAAAATTTTTAACACTTAAATTGAGATATCATTTACTTATTTTAATAATCACAATTTTAAGGTGTATGATTCAGTGGATTTTAGTATCTACACAAAATTGTGCAGCCATCAGCACTGTCTAACTCGGGAACATTGTCGTCACCTGAATAGAAAAGCCCATACCCATTATCATTCACTCTCTGTTGTCTCCCTTCTTTTTGCTCCTGGCAACCACTGATTTATTTTTTGTCTGTATGGCTTTTGCCTAATATGGATGTTTTATATAAATGGAATTATACAATATGTGGACTTTAACATCTGTCTTCTTTTACGTAGCATGTTTTCAAGATTCATCTATGTGTGGCATGGATCTCTTTCTCACTTCTTTTTATCCCCGAATCATTCTGTTGTATGGATGTACCACTTTTTAAAACAAAGCCTATTCTTCAGTTGGTGACATTTATTTTTTATAATGCTGCTGTGAACATTCATATACAAGTTTTTTATGTGGACAATATGTTTTCCTTTGCCTTGGGTATATGCCTAGTAGTGAAATATGTGGTAACCCTATGATTCCATTTTGAGAACTGTTTTCCAGAGTTTATTAGTTTTGTTATATAGCTGTTAAAAAAACAAAAACTGAATTTTAGTTTATCTTTTTAAGAATTTTAGTATCTTTTCAGGAATGACTGGAGAGACAAAAGTAAAGATCTGAATTCCTGTTCTCTGTTTTCTTAGATTTAGTGTAAGTGCGTGTTTGTGTAGATAGATAGAGAGGGAGGAAGAGAAAAAGGGAGGAGGGAGAGAAAGAAGGGAGAAAGGGAGAGGGAAAGAGAGATAGGGGGCTAGAGAGAGAGAGAGAGAGGGAAGGAGGGAGGGAGGGAGGGAGAGAGAGAGAGATATTTTAAGGAATTGATTCACATGATTATAGAGGATAAATCCAAAATCTGCACAGTGGGCTGGCAGGCTGCAGACCCAGGTAAGAGTTACAGTTTGAGTCCAAAGGCAGTCTACTGGCAGAATTCTTTTTTGTTCCAAGGAGGTCATCTTTGTTCTATTAAGGCTTCCCATTAGATTAGATAAGGCCCTCCCACATTATGGAGGGTAATCTGCTTTACCCAGTCCAACAATTTAAATGTTAATCTCATTTTAAAAATACCTTCACAGAAACATCCAAAACCAAATATTTGGGCACTGTGGGCCAGCCAAGTTGACACATAATATTAATCATCACACCTGTGTTATTTTTAATATTGCTGGTAGGATTGTATAAGGTCTGAGATACAAAAATGCTTTAATATCTGTAAAGAGATCACAAAAATACTAGGTGACATAATAGCCAAAAACAAAAAGTTAGAACCTTTTTGAAAATGAAACATATATCAAAAGGAAAAATAATCTTTATTCTAGTAAATTTTCTTCAAATGTATACTTATAATTAAAGCTGATACTTTTAATCTTGCTCACTTCAGAAATACGCTCTCCTATTTTAGAAACTACTTTATTACCTAAATCAGTTATTTTCATCTTAAAAGTCATACCTTGCTTCTCTTGCCGGCATATGATGGCTTAGTGGTTAAGAACAAAGTTTCTGTAATTGGACTGCCTAGGTTGGAATCTGTTGTCTAACATGCACGTGTGCACGTTCATATACACAGCTCTTAATTTTTTTTTTTTTTGAGACTTCTTCAAGTTAGATCACGCAGTCTTCATGAACTAAGATCTGAGCTACATTTGTAAGGAATGCTGTACTGATGGATGTTGCTCACATACAAGCCATCAGTTATGTGACGTAGGTTGCTTCATCATAAAAATGCTGTTTACCTTAACTTCAGACTGTATATAACAAAATAAACCCAGTATTCTTAAGTGAGATTATATGGAAAACATCTAGCTTAGTGCTGTCACATATAGAGACTCCATAATATACATGAAAATATAAAATAAAAAATTAAGTTGGATTAAAACTTCCTGTTAAATATGACTTCATCAAATGAAATTCTCTTCATTGTCTTTAAAGATTCATAATGCAAGGATAACATTAATATCCTTACCTAAATGTGTTTGGAAAAAGTATATATAAACATATATATTTGAGATGTATATGAGATATATAAGAGAAGGGAGGGGCAGTTTGTAAAAAAGTAGAACCGAGTTCAATGGCTTGTATTTGGTCTCTGGAACTAAAAACTAAAACTCATTGTATAAATTTGGTGAAACCCAGTAGTAAAAAGAAAAAGCAAAATATATATATATCTATTTTGCACTGAGCCATGAAGTAAAAAAGCAATCAAATAAAAACAAACTCCTTTTGACTCTAGGTCTACTCTAAATCAGTATTGGATCTGCACCCCCCGCCCCCCTCCACCAATGTAATAAAATTAGACAATTCTACAACTTGACCTACTCTGCTGTTTCATTCTGTTGAAGTTCCTGACAAATGTAATGTTTTATTTTGACATTTTCATTGTTTTGATTTGAGTTGGGTTTTCTAGTAACTTTTTATAGAAAGTATAATTTTATGAATGTTATTTCTGAAAATTTTCATGTGAGGTACACTTAAAGAAAATGTTCTTACTTTTTCTGTTGTCTGGCAAACAGCTTTATTCACTATCCCTTAATCTTCAACTAATAAAGAATGGGTGACAGTCCTTGGACAGGAAAGGTCTGTATTTCTTCCAGATTCCATTATTTGCTTTTTTTTTTTTTCTGAACCTTTCCCCAAAAAGCATTTCCTTTGCAAACTATGAGTCACACACACACTTGTATCAATCACCCACTTAATCACTGTTTTTCACATCGCCTTCAATAGTGAATTATAAATTAAACTTGATCGTAACAGAAACTTTAAAAAATATTTAAATATAGTTTTGAGTGAGACCTTGGTCACCTAATAGTAATTTCTTAAAACAAAATATTTAGAAGGTGCATGCCTAAAAAAAATACTGATTTTGGGAAGTTCTTCTGCAGCATAGCCAATTTACTGTATATTAATTTAGGTTTGCAAATACATGCAAAATACTTATGAGTTTGAATTAAAAGAGATAAAATTTCCTCTTATATTCCTCTTCCTTGGAGGTCCAGAAGGAATTAAATAAATTATAATTATCTCTCCTTGCCCCGTTTTTATTATTTCATTTTTCTGGGTCCATAACTTCGTAAGAATACATTTTCTAAGAACATTTTTCTTGCTCCTGGAGATGTTTTAATGGAGTTAGTAACCTTAGTCAATTTTTCATTCCTAATTTCTGAAAATTAGGGAAAAATAGAATGATCCAACCTAGTTGAAGATGGTTGCAATTGAAGGATGTAGGAGACTTGGTATTCTTTTACATTAATAGTGCTAATTTAACTTGGTGGCTTTGAGTATTAATGAGTGGTAAGTTATGAGGGAAATAAGGAACATACAAGGACTAATACCAGTAGCTATGTAATTTTAGACAAGTACTTTATCATGGTTGTGCCTCAGATTCTTCATCTATAATATGGGGAACTATTACCTACCTCAGTATGGTCACTGTGAGGATTAGATAAGTTTGTGTATTTAAATTGCCTAGAATGATATCTTCCAAGTAGTATGTGCTCCATAAATATTTGCTGTTATTACTTTGGGGATAGAAGGCCAGGGTTGGTATCTAATACAATAAAATTCAAGAGAAAAGTGCCAAGAGGCAGCAGATGTGGAAATAAAAGTTTCAGCAAAGGGGGAACCCGTATGTCTGGAACTGAAAAAGTACTGCTTTCTCTGCTTGGAACTCTCATCACCATCCTTCAAGCCTTGAGTCATATACTTTTCTTTCATAGCATTTATGATAATTTATAATTACGACTTTTAATGGGATCATTTGTTCAATGGACATCTCTCCTAGGAGACTGCCCTCCATGTTTATCTTACTTACCATTATATCTTCACTGCCTAGTACAAGGCCTACAATATGGTTGCTTTGTAATGATATTTAAGTGAATACATAAAAGTCAAAGTACACTGGAGGTGCTGACAAAAGGAAGGTATCTTGGGTACTAAGGCAGCTTCTCCAGCCCAAGACTTTTATATGATTCCAGCCCCAGTGTGGCAGGGTTATTCTGATGAGAGAACCTGGTAAGAACCTCCAGTTTACTCTCCTGGTAGGGTTGAGAAAAAGAGCTGGCATCTAAGCTGATGCAAAATAGATTATGATATATGTCATGGCAAGGTTAAGGTTAGGTTTATAAATATTCAAAATAAGTATTTTTCTATTCTAACATTTCATATTTCATAAGTAACTAGATTTGCCAAAGTTGTCATGATACCAGATATGATAATTTTCTTTACAAAAAATTTGTTGTGCTCTGTATAATGGATTTTTTAAAAGATCAGAAGCACTATTTCACATGTTTAACTTGAAAATATTTATACTCTTCAATGGAGAGTAAACATAAAAGAGAAAATCCTGAGACTATGTGTTTGCTCTGTTTATGTATTGAAGCCTGATTGATCACAGAGGAGTTTAATTTCTTGTTTTAACTCAAGCTACCAAAAAAGTTAGAAACTTTTCTACAAGATAGAACCAATGCTATAGCACCTTTAGGTAGATGTATTTATTTTTTAAAGAAAGAACTATTAAAATTTCAGATGGAATGGAATGCTTAGATGCAGTGTTTCCTTTCCATTATTATTATTTTTTTTTACTTTTATTAGCATTTATTTTATGCTGAATTTACTTCTGGGTCATAAATTAAGTTTTTGTTTCATCGTTGTCTTCTGGGATATTTTTTTCTTTGTACAACCTCCTCTTCTGGTTTAGGAACAATTTGCTTTTTTTTACTAAGGATAAACTTCATGTGGCAGGGAGAGGTCATATACAGTTAATCCAGCAAAGTGTTATGCTGCATCTTGCGAGCTTTGTTCACTGGGATGTGCTCAAATCAACAACCTAACTTTGCAATGTAAAGAACTAGATAAAGAAGAACAAACTAGTCTCAAAGGCAGTAGAGGGAAAGACATCATAATGAATAGAGCAGTGAG